ATTGGATGCGATTTGGATGAGATAGGAGGGGAACCGGAATTATTCTCAATATGAAAAACCGGAAAATGTTTACTGAAAAAAAATGGATAGTCCAGTTCCGATTATGCATCGGGCGCTCTCCCCAATGAGCTATCCGGCTCCTAGCCATTCCTTCGTTTCAAATTTCTGGTACATATTCAGTTCCGCCGTCCTTCTCACGGCATTCATTTTTACATTAACCCTCGAGTGGTCGCACCTCTCCACCAAACGTATCTGGTCGCGTGATGAGCGCTGCGCCTTTCCGTGTATTTTACCATTTTGAGAAAAAAAAAAGTTCAAAAAAATTATGTATTTATGATTAAACGAGTAACTTTGAACTTCCAACTAACATCTAATATCAGTATAAAACGAGAAAAGTGAAGACATTATTCAAAAATTGATTTCCATTCGGTGCGAAAATTTGATATTTAGAGGTTAAACACAGAGATTTTGACCGAGTCGAATTTTTAAGGAATTTTAATTTTTGATCGGTGCAAAGATGCACAGAACAAAAAATGTTTAAATGTTTGACATGGTGGAAAGCAGGAATTCCAATTTTTTCAAATTTTTTTGCAACAACTTTTCAGCGTAAAAAATAAAGATCGAGACAGAACGGCCCTCGTGCCATGACGCGATCGATCGAGGATTAAAGAAAGGAATTTATATTGGGAAGCCAAGAACTCGAATACTCTATCTATCAGACGGGATAGGAACTCGTGTAAGAAGGTGGCGAGCCCTATCTCTCCCAAGGAGCTACTGTCGAGAGGCGAAAATGTGAACTCGTACATGTAGGGTCCGTGACCTACGCCCCGCCCCCATCTGAGTTCCCAATAGCGTTCCACATCTTTGTGATGTTATAGGAAATGATTGGATGGGATTTAGATGGGCGTGCATAAAGTAAATTCTCGTGCGTAAAGCTCCGCTTTATGCACTCGACATTCACTTTACGCACGCTCGTGAACTTTACGCACACCGTGCGGAAAACAACCGCTTTACGCACACTAAACCTTTTCTAAAAGTGCACTTTTGAGGCAGATATCACAAAATAGTATATTTCAGCACGTGTGGGGCAATATCGTCTTCAACGTGTGTGGGGTTTACAGCATGAGCCGAAGGCGAGTGATGTAACCACACACGTTAAGGACGAAATTTCCCAACAAGTACTGAACAAAATTTTATGTCACTCGACGCTTCGCGTCTCGTGTCTAATTCAGCCGGTTTCAGGCATGAGTGGCATAAAAATGTTTTTTGCCCCGCTGGAGATATGTAGCTTCACTGTCACTTTGCGCACAAGTGTCGAAATAACGCGTTTGGAAATTTTTCCTCTAAAAATGAAAGCTTTTTTTCTGATGTTAACCTCCCATTAAGATCTCCTCAATCAACTTGAGAATTTTATATTTAGCCTCCACTCTTTCAAAAGGAAATTCATTAATGAAAAATCGCCAAGAGAACCGCGGGAACATCACGAAATCCCACGCTTATTTTTATCTCCAGTTCTCCCCACTCCTCTGTCCACTGCGATGATTACCGTGAGACATTATCTCAGTGAAAGTAGAATCGCGAGTCACTACGAGAGTTAAACTCCCCGAAAAGAACGAAACAATAAACTGGAATTATCGAAGATAAAAATTAAACCAGCGATTCATGAATGAAATCTGTATTGTTACTTCCAACAATAAAGAATGCATTCTAGACTCATGGAGTGGGGGCACAAGGAGTGGGAAGAAATCGCACACGAGGTGCATAAGGCGTAACTAGACGCCGCGTTATGTCACGTAAATAATGGCTGTCCCCTCCTCGTCTCAAGAATACATTAAAATTCCACTCGAAAAGCATTTTTCTTAGAGTTACTGCTCTTGTTGACTCTTTTTAACCCCAAAAATAACGATTTATTCTCCCAAACAATTCATTTATCTCAATAGTTTGATTATTTTCAATGGGTAACCCCTCGTCATCTGAGGAAAAAGTCAAAAATCCGTTTTGGAAATCTGTTTTTGACCCAAAAAGTTTATTATCACTTTTTGCATTGGAAAAGTGATGATTTTCCCTCGGAAAATCACTTTTTAGAGAATTTCAATGACTATTCTCTCTTCATCCAAGAAAGAAGTCAAAGTTCCATTTCAAAAAGTTTTTTTTTACTTTAGGTTAGCAGCCGTACTTGATCCGAAAAATCTTTCATCACAACTATCATTATAAAAATATAAATTTTTGATTAAAACGATCAACTTTTCCCATTTTGTTGACAATTTTTCATGAATATTCCATGATCATCTCCAAAGAAGTGGAAATTCCCCTCGAAAAACTTTCTTTCAGCCCTAATAGACCCTACTTCACCCTTAAAGGCCTCATATTGTCATAATTATTCTGAGAAAAGATAAAATTCTTTCTAAACAATCACACTTTTCCAACTATTCATAAGTGCTCCATTGTTATCTACCTTAAAACTCAAAATTCTGCTTTAAACTTCTCGTTGACCCTCACTTGATCCTACAAAATCTAGAATCCATCCTGAAGAAAATAGTTCTCCTTATCGTCAATCACCTCTTCATGCACTCTTATTTTTCACCATTAACTTGAATATAAAAAATTAAAAATTTATGAAAATTATCTTTAAATAATTGCCGAAGATTTTAACTAAAAATCATCAACGTTACTTGACCCTAATGAACCTGCTATTATAAATATTATTCTAAAAATAAAAATATTTCATTGAAACGATCATCGTTTCCTACGTTCTTGCCATTTTTCATGACTATCCCCTCCTCATCTACGCAGAGTTAGAAATTCCCTTTCATAAACTTCTGTTCCTCCCTAATAGACCCTTACTTCACCCTTAAAGACCTCCTATCATCATCATTACTCTCAAAAATGACGATATTTTTCTTAAACACTCATATTTTCACAATCATTCCTAAACATCCCATCGTTATTTACCTAAATTCTTGAAATTTGTCACTGAAAATTTCTGGATTACCCCTAAAAACCTATTATCATTATTCAATATTAATCAACATCAATAAAAATTCTGATTGAAAATCCTGAATGTTACTTGGCCCTAATAAACCTGCTGTTACAAATGTTATTCTTAAAATATAAATATTTCATGCAAATGATCATACACATTTTCACAATCATTCATAAGCCCTCCATCATTACAGGTATGAAAAAATCGTATAGAAATTTTCTATACGGATTGCGTACAGAATTTCAATAAGATTTTCGTATATGATATTCGGATATTTCTATACGGATATTTTTTATACGAATTATTTCTATACGATTTTTATAGATTTGATCCTATACGACCCCCTGTCACATGTATAGAAACATTTCGTATGAAAACAAAAATTTATGTAAAAATTTATGAATAAAAATAATTCGTATAGAAATATCCGAATATCATATACGGAAATCCTCTAGAATTTCTATACGCAATCCGTATAGAAAATTTCTATAGGGGAGGGTGGGGTAAAATGGACACCTTTGATCTTTAAAGAAATATTTATAACTCAGAGACAGATTTATCAATTGAAATCAGTTTAGGCCCAACAAAACGGGAAAGAATTATCCTTTTTATTGAAAAATAAAAAAAAACATTTGACCAACAGTCCAACCTGTCGTTAACATTTTAAAAAAGTCAAAAGTGTCCATTTTACCCCACTCTCCCCCACGATTTTTTCATACGTGTACCAAACACTTGAAATTTCTCACTGAAAAATTCTTACTGCTCCTAAAAAACCTACTATAATTACTACCATCCTTCGGTAGTGATTGGTTTGTCCTCAGGGGATCATTTTTAAAGACCCCCTATCAAAAAATGATATTATTTATCTTAAACAATCACATTTTAATAATCATTCATAAGCCTTCCATCATTATCTACCCAAACTCGTGAATTTTTTCACTGAAAACTTCCCATTGCCCCTAAAAAACCTATCATTACTACCATCATTGCTGCTCAGACGATCCTTCGGGGATAATTTTATCCTGGAATTGAATAAAAACCGCTTCTACATATCCATCTATCCCGACAACAATAATTCTTCTTTCAGCAATCAGCGTCAATAAAAATCTCAAGCAAAAGTCTCAAATTATTACCGTACGAGATCTATGCGCGCGCTCTCGCTCTCGATCTATTCATTTGTTGAAATGAAGAAATGGAATTCATTGAATTTCATTTTCTCATGAATACCTTATAAATATTGATAATGAATCAAAGAGAATTCGACTAATGATTGAAATGAATAGCCAAATAGAGTAAAATAATCTATAAAGAATTTTTCATTTTCAATTAATTATCTTCAATTTTTTAAAATAATCGGTCTCCATAAAAGGACAGAATTTATTAATTTCACCGATGATATATATACATGTGAAATATATATATTATATAGATATATATGACGTGAAAAAAAAATTTACCACTGAAGAATTTGAAAATGCCGCGTGTTTTTTTGTGAATAACTTCGCGTCACATATTGACCAATCAGAAGGATTAGCGGTCAGGCAGTTTCGAGATATTTCGATATAAAACAACTTCGCGTTTCTTTCATCTTTAGTAAAATAGGATTAAAGATCTGTTATGAAAAAAATGATATTATTTATCTTAAACAATCACATTTTAATAATCATTCATAAGCCTTCCATCATTATCTACCCAAACCCTTGAATTTTTTCACTGAAAACTTCCTATTGCCCCTAAAAGACCTGTCATTACTACCATCATTGCTGCTCAGACGATCCTTCGGGGATAATTTATCCTGAAATTGAATAAAAACCTCTTCTACATATCCATCTATCCCGAAAGCAATAATTCTTCTTTCAGCAATCATCGTCAATAAAAATCTCAAGCAAAAACCTCAAATTATTATCGTATACACAAGGTGCATACTTAACGCAGCGTTATGTCACGTAAATAATCCCCCCCCCCTCCACGAAACGTCAAACCCCTCCAGCCAGAAAACTCCAAAAATATTACTCACTTTCCAAGCTCCTCCTTAAGATCATAGTTGTCACTGAACCTCGTGCAAGCTGCTGGGGCAGCCATGCTGAATCCTCAATACTAAAAAAAAATAATAATCCACAACTTCCCTCACCCAAAACTGTCACTCCCACCACCAACCCCTCAGCACCCCCCCGAAAAAAAACAAAAAAAATTTAACAAAATTCGGAATTCGTTGAATAAGTCCACTTGCCCGTTCGTAGAAGCAGTTTTAGTTCGTGGGTCAAATACGATCGATAATCCTCGTAGTGTATACCGATAGTAACCCGGTGTAAACCCGGGTCCGCCTCTTATATCTCTCCACAAATTGTTTATTTTGTTCTTCCGTCGCCGATCGACAGATCCCCCAGTCTAGTTGTCACAGGGACCCCTCGGGTAATTAAAAAAAAAATTATTCACTCGATTTATCTTACGCTCTGTTCTGCAATTCAGCTCTCAAAATATTTCCGGCACACGACTGAATTTATTTTAACACGCAATGCCCACCTAATCTGCACTGCTCGCCGGCAGACCGTCGACTGACTCACGTAGTTCTCACAACACTTGCGCCTGGCCGCAACCCCCACCACAATCACCCCCACGGGAATTCTCACAAACGCGCGCAGCTCGGCTAGTCCAAGATAATTTTCCGCTTTTTTATTGTTGGAAACAATTGAGCAGTCACAATCTACCGGATTTAAAAAAATTTTTTTTAGATATTAATTTGAGGTCGGGGCTGTCCCTTAAGGGCTCCTTAAGGTCTTCCGAAAGAGTTCAGGGGGTGGAATTTTTTTTATTGCTGAAAAAAATTTTTTACTCTTGAGAACAAATTCATCTAATTTTTTGTAAAGTTGTTTCAGCTCTTAATTTTGAGGCTAGGCGGTTTATTGAGGTTTTGAGGTCTTTGAAGTTCAAGGGCTTGAACTCAAAGAAATTTTTGGTTTTTTTTCCGAGATATTAATTTTGAGGTTAGGTTAAATTTTTTTAACTGCAGGATTTATGATTTTTTTTTCAATTGTTATCACAACCTACTTTTTTAAAAACAATTTTAAGGTTAGGCTTTAAGGGCCCTTTAAGGTCTTCAAGGTTAGTTCAAGGGCTTAAATTTTTTTTTCTGTTATAAATAGCCAAGAAGAAGCAATTCACCCAATTTTTTAATAATTTTGTGTCAACTATCAATTTTGAGGTTAGGCTGATTTCTCGATCGCTTTGAGGTTAGTTCAGAGGGTTATGGTGGCGGCGTTAGAGTATGGGGGTTTGTTTTGATGGAGTTGGACACTGGGAATCGATCCGTGGGGATAGAATGTAAATAGGGGAATCACTGTATTGTTATGCAGCTCCGTTGAATGTTGACACGAGGTTATATTTAGATGAGGCTGAGTTTATATCGATGCTCGGTCGCTCGAACACTTGCACCAACGTCGTCTGAGTTCGTAGCCATCGGCGAGTGTCAAGATTTTTCAATCGGTTGTTTACGATTATTCAAAGATGTTGTTTAATTGTTTTTCCTCCGGCACTCCCGGATTATTTTCCAGAGATTTTCCGGGTTTTCGTGGGGTTCAGGGTGACTCTGTCGGTTCGATCCACCACGACTTCGGACTTGTCTTGTCTCACTTGGTGACATCGGGGCGCATGGAGATGTCGGGTGTCTCTCTCTGTTGGGTGGGGGGTGGGTGGCTGGCGCGCAACCACCCTGATCTGGTGAGGGGAGAGGGGCGCATGCGCACGAGGTGTGGCGACCGATATACTGACTATAACTACTTGCGCCACTGGGGAATCTACTGACCCCCATCGATCCACCCTGCAGGGGGTTGGAGGGGGGAGGCGACCCGGGAAACATGAAATTTTGGTGCTGGTGAGGGATTTTTTTTCGATTGAAGGTTTGGTTGATTGATCATTGGGAATTTGTGATGGATTGAGGAATGGGGGATTGAGATATTGGGGGATTTAGATTCCGAAACGCGGGGTTAGGGGAGGGTCGTTAGTTGACAAATAGGAATGCTGAGGAATATATTTTCATTCGTTTGAATTATGACACAGAAATTTCAAGTAAAATAAGTTGAATTTGAATTATTTTTGGTGGAATATTCGAGCACAGCTCTTTTATTATTGTACAAAAACTACTCGACAAAGATTTATGACAGACTGGGAAAACAGTCCTAGAAAGGGACTAATGTACGATGCGTTGTGCTCTGCAGACACTGCAGAGCGGTTTAATCCTAAACACATCCTGAAATTTGAAGGACTGTCCCATTGAGTCGTAAAATTTTATTACTTTTGCTTGTCGTTTTCTCAGTGAGAGTTTTCACTTGGCTATTGCTTTCAGTCTTAGGATAGCGGTCCTCTAGTACAGACCTGCCTTCCTGGTGCAAATAAAAATATTTTAATAAAGTACCCCATTTGTTTTGCCGCATTTATTTATTCACTTGCACCCATATTCCATTAATTTTGTTGCCGAATGGAAGTTGTATAATCGTTCAAATTTAAGTTTGGAATTTTTTGTTTTATATCGACCCAGTATGATCCAAAGAGTCCGAAAATGCGATTTTTAAACCTCGTCCGTACGTGTGTGTATGTGCCCCATTAAAAATTATATAATATGGGCCAATGCCATATACTTTTCAAATTTATAAAGAATATATAAAAAATATATATAAAACATATATTTTACATATTTTTAAAAATACAAATTAGGTCAATTTAAGATATTTTTTCATATATTTTTCAAAATATAAATTTTCCGTATGGGTGTGTACGTATGCAACAAAGTTTTTCTTCAATTGTTCGCTAATGTCTGAGTGGAATTGAATCTTGTTCATTTCAAATGTAGATATTGTTGAGCGCTATCAATCGCCATTAATTAAAATTGAATTCATCGATTAGTTTTTTTTTTTTATTGTCGAATTTTGTCGAAAATCGGTTGTCCCACGATAACTAAAAGAAATGGAACAAATGATTAACAAATTGGTTGAATTACGATGCCCGAGACCATTTACCATAAATGCATTCCTGGTATCCAAGAATTTAAAACCATTAGAAATGATACATGAATTTGTTAAGAAAATTGGAATTAGAATTTAAAATAGCCGCACAGTTTTTGTAAATAACCCGAGAAGGGTTTGTACATAATGAAAAAAAAAAAAAAAAACTTCGAAGAAAAGACGATCGTACATAACAACCGTTGAGAGGGAAGCAAGGAACAAATACTTAACAATATTAACGAATAAATCAACAATCAAACAACATCTGTCAGAACATCTCGGTAACACGCTTTTTTTTAAATTTCTTATTCATTTTTTTTTTCAAGTAATCTTCTGCTGGAAGGCACTTTGCGCATCTGGCCACTTTTCCTCTATGNAATGAATTTCCCTGAAAGTGAGCTTTCTGATAATTTCTTCAAATGTGATGTTTCAAATTCATTCAAGTATGTATAAATAAAATTTTTCTACAACCGATTGTCTTTTTTACGGTTCTATTTGATGATAACATTCAACTAAGTTGAAAATCTGACAAAATTAGTTGAAAAGAAATCTTATTCAAATTAATAACATGAAATAAACAATGAATTGTACATGATAGAAGGAAATGATGTGACTATTCGGAAGAATATTGCTAATTTATTAGCAAAAATAACTACACTATATGCAAAACAAAAGTAATTCCCGACTTCTTAGTTTTGAGGCTTTCGCGGCCATTATTAATGACGTGGTTGGCTTCCGGATGGATGCCGCGTTGAGTTTCAGCATTGCGCCGACGTTTCGCAAACATTGCAGTCTGCATCTTCAGGGCTATGAGCTCCGATTCTGAGCTCCGATGTGNTCAACGCGGCATCCATCCGGAAGCCAACCACGTAATTCCCGACTTGTTTTGAGTAATGATGATAATAGGAAGTAGGAAACGGTGAAGTGAGGGTCTATTAATGTGGAAAAAATGTTTTTAGAGGGAAATTTTTACTTCTTTGTAGATGACGAAGGAATATTCATGATAAATTGGCAATACAATGGGAAAAAGTGATCGTTTGAATGGCGTATTTATACCCCCATCAAAAAATATATAAAAAATATATAAACCATATATTTTATATATTTTTTTGTACAAATTGGGCCAATTTAAGATTTTTTTTTATATTCTTCAAAATATAAATTTTTCCGTGTGGGCATCTTCAGAATGATATTCGCTATAACCGGTTTCTTAGGATCAAGTAACATTGAGGACTTTCAACTGGGATTTTCATTAAATCATCATTGAGAATTTTCATAAATTTTTAATCAAAATTATTATTGAAGTTGACGGTGAAAAATAGAACGACATGAAGAGGTAATTGTGGAGAAGGGGAATTATTTTTTTTAGAATCGACGCGTTGAACGTCTGTTTCTACTGACTTCTCGTGAATAAAAGCTACATGTTAAGTAGAAAAGGGCGAAACTTCGGACGTACGGGGTATTTCGGTTGTTATCGTTAATTTATCAAGGGTAACAATTTTTAAATTAAAAATTATGAACAGCTTGAAGGTCAAAAGTCATCTGGAGGATTCGACTTCTAACTGGGAAGTTTAACCTCAAGATGGATTTGAACTCACAACCTTAAGATTACTAGTGTCACACTCTTACCAATTGCTCTACCACAAATCAATTCAAATAGATTATTTTTCTTCATGACATGTGAATGAACCCAATAATCTCACATTCTCCAAGTGCCTTTTAAATAATCAGATAGAAAAATTCAGTGATGAACAAACAGGGGTTTGAGCCTATCCGACAGTAGGTACACTGCGAAAACTAATGGCTGAATTTCAGGCACTTTTGTAGACACTTTTCAAACACTTTTGGGACGATTTTGTAGACACTTTTGAGACATTAAAATGAGTCTGAATCAATGGAGGCATTTCAATTTCAGACACCAAAATGTCTGAAATTAAGATACAGACATCAGTTTCAGACACAAGCGGTGCTTGAAATTTTCAGACATCAGTTAGATTTTCAGACACTTTTAAAGATTCAGACGTTTTTTGCCATCTGCCATCTTAAATTCAGACGGTTGTCAGACACCTAGTTTTTGCAGTAACTAGATGAGTAACTTTTCAGATATGAGAAATATCTTAAAAATTAATGTTTGAATGGACTTTGCCGTCTGAATCAGGTGAGATATCTCAATAGTGAAATGTTTGAATCGCTCATAAATAACTGAATTTCAGACCCAGAAAATATCTGAAAATAAATACCTGAAATTTTTCAGGTACAAAAAATGTCTACCATCATTTTCAGACAGAAACGGTGGTTGAAATTTTCAGACATTAGGCAGATTTTCAGACACTTTTAAAGATTCAGACGTTTTTTACCATCTGACATCTTAAATTCAGATAGCTGTCAGACACCTGGTTTTTGTAGTGTATGTGACCGTTACTTTCCGCGCCATTAGTCTTTTTCTTTTTTTTCCTTCTACCAATTTCATTGGTACAGTGCACTCTCGTTTATCCGCAGGCCTCGGGACTCGGTCGTGACGTCATTTCATGTGAAACGCAGGTAAAGGAACATCCCCACTCGTCCAGTTTACAGCAGCATTAGAAGAGGGAAAGGGTTGGGAATAGTGGGGGGAATCGTGGCAGTGGTTTACATTTGTGACCAACTGCGCATTTCATAGCGCATGACGTCAAAGAGAAGGATGCACGCTAGATATGGAGTGGTGGAAGATTTTTGAGGGGCAACAGGCCTCGAGGGGAGTGAGCGCAGATTACGGAGTCGGCGGATAAAGGAGAGTCCACTGTAGCAAGCTTCCGAATGGATCCGTAGCAATTCCCTATCCTTGGGCTACCGGGTGTCCACAGGTAAATTCCTCCTTTTCATCCTTTTAATGAAAAAGATTTATACAAAAGGTTAAATATCTCCGAAGCTGCTCCGCCGGTTGCGCCTATCCAAAATATCAGCCTCCAGTATTGTGAGAGCTATAATCATACCAAATTTCAATTTGCTACCTCCTTATTTTCTCGAATTATCGTGCATACAAGATTTTTCATGAAAAACAGAAAAACGGCAAAATCTCCGAACTGTGTATTAAAGAGTCTACATATTCTGATTGACCTACGTAGAGGTCATCGAGACGAGTATTTAAGAAAAAAATTCGAAATCGGTGGAGTCGTTTCTGAGATATTGAAGAAAAACGAAATTTAAACAAATTGTTATATGTCAGTTGAATTGTCTAAAAATTAATCACCAAAAACCCATACATACGACATGACCCTAAAAACATAAATTCTGCGCGTTTCATAACATTCCAAACCATTTGCAATCAAAATTATAACATCGGAAAATCGGTCAGAAATAAGGCTTCCATGCGGAAGCAAAAACAGATGAATTCACATGAAGAAATTTTCAAAATCCTGATAAAATATCACGTAAAACTAACGACTCATATTCTTCAAAAACGAATCCATTACTCTATCATTTTCTCCTCGTCTATTTTCGAAAAGTTGAGTTAATCGACGAAAGCCGAGTTTTAGATGTCCCATAATTTCTATGAATACACCCAGGAAAATGGCTTATTTGAATTGAATAAACTTCATTTGAATCAAATACATCTTCTGTTGGCATCAAACAAAAGATTTATTTAATTCAAATAAATTAAATAAATTGGATTTCAATAAAGTTTATTTAATTCAAAGGGACCATTTTTTGGGCGTATGAGGCCAATGATTCATTCGTCCAAAGGGAAAACTTCCAAAGAAAAAAGTGAAAACCTAATGACAAACGGAGCTTCAATATTGTACCCTAGGTGGGATTTGAACTCAAACGTTCAGATTACGAATGTGATACTCTTACCAATTAAGCTATCACAAATCCCTCTGAACAAATAATTGTTTTCCTTAATAACATCCGAATGCACCTCATCGTTCATAAAGTCATTCAATCTCCTTTTACGTAATCGAATCGGGAAATACAATTAATTCTTCTAATCCTGGTGTAATCGAATCGGAAAATACAATTCATTCTTCGTTGAATTCTCGTGGCTGTATCCTCTAACTCTGGTAGGGGCAAGAGCCCAAAAGATCGAGCCTATCCGACAGAAAGCATGTGACCGTTACATTATTAGTCTTTTTCTTTATCTGCACCAATTCCATTGGTCTACGGAAAGAATATGAAATAATTTTTTTCTGGGGGAACAGTAATTTTTAATATGAGAAATAGAATGGAGGAATATACCCGCCACACTTGAAAATTAACTATTTAAGGTATATCCCTAGAAAACAGATTTTTCTTAAGGTTGTTGTCGTGTAACTTTTTGTTCGACATATTTTTTTTTCAATTTTTATCATAGATAGCTCTAAGAATTAGCTGTAAAATAAGCTCATTATAATTGCAATTGACCATCTCACACTTGAGATACATGTTTTTGAATTTTACACGCTGTTAAATGCAGTATCACCGTTTTCAATTCTAAAAAAAAATACTCGACATTTTTCGTTAAAAAAAAACAGTGTAGAAATGGTGTCTGTGTGGGCATCTTCAGAATGATATTCGCTATAGCAGGTTTCTTAGTATCAAGTAACATTGAGGTCTTTCAACTGGAATTTTCATTAAATCTTCATTGAGAATTTTCATAAATTTTTTAATCAAAATTATTATTGAAGTTGACGGTGAAAAATACAACGACATGAAGAGGTAATTGTGGCGAAGGGGAATTATTTGTTTTAGAATCGACGCGTTGATTCGACGCATTGATCGATGCATCTCAAACTGGAGATACATGTTTTTGAATTTGACACGCTGTTAAATGCAGTATCATCGTTTTCAATTAAAAAAAAAAACTAGTCGACATTTTTCGTTGAAAAAAAACAGTGTAGAAATAGTGTCAATCAATCTACTGAAAAAAATTAAATTGATTGACCATTTCATTTTCGGGAAATCGTCATAGAAAGTTAGTTTTTCTCCCCAATCGGCGGGACAATATACTTAATGAAACGAACCACGAATTCTACCAGGTTAGGAGTCACACGAACAGAGAGACACACTGCGCGTGGTTGGCACAATCGACACCATTTGGCATTAGCTGTATGCGCACGTATTCAAAAATCGTATCGAAAAAATTGCTAACTAGCTGTACCACACAGCTTAGGAGATAATAAATAATGAAATGCGGGCTGATGACACGCGAGGCATAGGCCCAACGGGGGTTATGGGCCCCCCCGAATTCCATTTTTCCACCTTATGAGAAAACGGTTCTTACGATGTTCTTAAAAAACTAATGCGTGATAGATTGATAAATTCTGAATACGGTGAATTTTTTGTCAAATTTTGTACTACATAGTTTCTGCGATATTAAAAAAAAATGTAAAAAATTGAGATTTCGTGAATGCATTTCTAATTTGATTCAAAAAATTGATTAACAAATAATTTCGGTAATAATACAAATAATAATATAATACAAATAATAATCCAATACAAATAATAATCGGTAAGCGAACTGTGAGTTCCGTAATTTTTACTGAACATTTCTCTCCGTGTCAACAACACATGAGAGTACTCTGAAAAAAATTAAGTTTTTTGAGAAGTACGTACTTGTATCTAGATCATTCTTATTGCATCAACTCTAGAAATTATTCATTAATCCTTCAGTGGTCGCGCTTTTTTAACATTTCATTCGCTCTACAGTGGCGCCCTATAGGTTGTGTATGTTTTAGCGGGGATTTCCTCACGATGCGACCACTTAAGGGTTAAGTAATGAAATTCACATTTCTGTATTCAGTCGACTAGCGATTCATCGAGAGGAGAAATTTTCCAACAAAAAAGTGACCATTCCTTGCTATGGAAAAGGAAGAACTCCAGATTGAGCAATGATAATCCCAGGCAGGATTTGAACTCACAACATTCAGATTACGAGTGTAATACTCTTACTAATTGCGCCATCATAAGTCACTCGAAACAAATAATTCTTCTACAGAATTTGATCGAAATGAATCTAAATATCTATAAATACCTCCAGTTTCCTTTGACGCAAATAAAAAAAATCGAATTATAAAAAAAACATTAATTCACACGAAGGATGCCGGAAAATACCCGATAAATCCCAGATCAAATTTTCTATCTACATTCTTCAAAATTACATTTATTACTAGATCATTTTTATTTCATCAACTTTAAAACTTTTTCATTAACCCTTCAGTTGTCGTGCTTTTCTAGCATCTCATTCGCTCTACAGTGGCGCCCTGTAGGTTGCGGATGGTTTAGCGGGGATTCCCTCACGATGCGACCACTCAAGGGTTAATTAGTGCAATTCACTTTTCTGTGGTTAGCCTACTAGGGCACGGAGAGAAATGCTCAGTAAAAATGACGGAAGTCACAATTCACTCACCGATTACGAAATCGACTCAGAAAATTCAAGTTCAAGAAAATTCAGTTCCGTAAAATTTCCTACAACCGCATTTCGCTCCGGCATTACGGAAAAGATGCGTAATTTTTATCAGGGATAGGCAATAATATTAGATTTTGGCAATATTAAAAAGGATTATCTAAAATATTATAGAATTTATTAGCTACATTTTTCGACTGATGGTGAATAAAATATTTGATAATACTAAAATGGAATTTTTTTTGGTTACCAAGCTAATTCTAATTTTAGGCACTTGATTTTCAATTATCCAAATAACCGTCGATCTTCCTACCTAAATTATTGGTTGATAAAATATTTCGAAATTTAGAGGTACAAATTAATCGTTGCTTTAATATTAAAAATTTTAAGATTTATATTAAACATTGATAGCTTCACAATTTAACGGTAATTATAATTGGTTGATATGCCTATCACTGATTTTTATTGAATAAATGAATCTCGCGATTCATCGAGAGGAAAAATTTTCCAAGAAAAATGAAGAGGGAAGAAGAAATCAAAATTGAGCAATGGCAATCTCAGGCAGGATTTGAACTCGCAACATTCAAATTACAAGTGCAATAGCCTTACTAAGTGCGCTATCACAAGCCACTCTGAACAAATAATTCTTCTGCTGAATGTAATTTCACTGAACCTAAACATTTAGAAATACCTTCAATCTCTTTTCACGTTATCGAATAAAAAAATCCTATTACAAAAAACAACAAATTCACACGAGGAATCCAAATACCGAAGAATTTTCAATGAATTGACTTGAATTTTGATTTCCACATACATAATAGAGTGACGAAAAAAATAAAATCATTGTAAAATGTCCGGAAAGTTGGGCTCAAATGGGGCTCAAATGAAAACTCTGATGTTCAACTGCAAAAGTAAAAAAGCATATCACTGGAGAAAAACCGATGACGTAATTGAATGGAAAAATTCGATAATAAAAAACAAATAAATTCAGAGAAGGAATTCCAAAAAATCCTAGATGAACTCGAATTCACACAGAATGATTGTCACTTCCTCAATTTTCGAAAGGTTGAATCAATAAAAAAACTCCCACTTTCAGCATCATATAAATTTATTGACCATAATCATATAAACTCCTATTCATTCCGAACATCACACTCTAAAAATCCTATTGCAATTCGTTATTTGATTTTATAAACGTCCTGACTATTAACATTTGATTCAACTTCAACTTGACGATTCCATCATATACACCGCTATATTACAAAAATAATTTCAAATCTCAAATAAAAATTTCTCACGTTAAAATATCGTCAACAACCCTTAATCCTAACGATTTATGATTAAAAACAATACGTGCTATGTCTCGTCGTACGATTAACCTAAGCCTAGTGGAACCGATTTACAATTAAAATCACAATTAATCATGCAGAGCAGTAACAATAATACAGTAGGTTAAACCTGATAAATGCAATTCGAAATATTTTCGAGAAAGAATTCGTCTCTTCATTCTCTTTCTCTTCATTATTTTTTAGTAATCGTTCGAAAAAATGCAACAGACTTAGTAATGAAACTAAAAAGCAAAAACAAAAATATAAGAATGTAATCCAGTGATTGAATGGTGAAAGGAGACGAGTCATTCACTTAGTTTTTTGCGAATATCTTTGGAGGCAAGGGGCTTAGAAAAAAATGTCCATAGAACTTTTTGTGGAGAATTTCATACTTTTCAAATAATGTTTTATGACATTTTGTTCTAAATCTGATAGTTCAAAAGATAGTTACCAAATAGTCTGTACTATTTTCTTTGATCTTTTTTTTGTTCTCGTCGTGTTAATAGCTGAATTATCTCGGTAATGAGTGATGCTACGAAAAAATGTTAGGTAACGTCTTTTGCAGAGATCTTCATCCTCTTCAAAAAATGTCGTATGATATTTCGCTCAAAATTGAATATTTTAGGAGGTATTCATGAAATAGTCCGCGCTAATTTAGTTATTTGTCTTTTCCTTTTGTTCATATGATATTAATTGTTTGATTATCTCGGTAATGAGTAGTGATATGAAAAAATGTCATAAAACATTTTTTGCAGAGAATTTCATGCCCTTCAAAAAAAATTTTGACGCTATTCCCCCTAAACTCACTATTTCACAAGATATTTTCAGAAAACTCATTGTGAATTTGTTATTCATGTCCATCCACCGCTGTTTCATCCTCATCAACTTCGTCATCAGTGAAGAAATTCAATATTTCACATTTTGTCAGCAGTATCTTACCTCTAGATTGGATCATAACATAAAAAAATAGCAATCTCTCAGGATTATCGGCCCCAATCGTCATTTCAATAATTCTAGAGTCGATGTTTTGTGTTGTGTGACACGCCAATTTCTCTCGAAAAATAGAAAATTGAATTGTTGAGGGGTTTTACTCGACTGTTACGGACTTAGCGAGGTTCCTGGGGCAATCGACGTTGCAGCCACGGAGCACAGCGATGTGGAATGATAATAATTGCATTGGGATGACAGTTAGAATGCCTTGGAGACAATCGACAGTCTTTGGCACCTCCAGGATACTCGATGCCAGGGCTTTTGTTTCGTTATCACCTACTTCGCAGATTATTATCGGTTTTCCGTCACGTGCTGTTACTTGTTGAAGAGCGTTCATGCATTTCTATAAATGAATTATTGAATTGTTACAATTCGAAAAACCAATCCCCATGAGTTCATTCAAGGATAAATTTTCATTTTCAAAATGATTTTTTCATTTTTTCTCTTCTAAGGCCTGGGTGGATTATCTTTCGAACGTGTTCTTGATTGTTTTTTTTATTTTGATAGTCTGAAATGATCTCCAATTGTTATTCAGTTTTATATAGCACTGAAGTCTCCAAAAAATATGATTGTACAATAAAAAGAAACGTTGAAAAAAATGCTGAAAATTTTCCAAGAGTGTTTTTACATAATATTGGGAAATAAACCCAATGGGTCAAAAAAAAAAGAAATTGTAAATTAATAATTTGATGTATCTAATGGCTGTTAGGTCATCATTTGTAACAGTAGTCTATGGCTGTTAGACCAGTAGTTACCATGATAAATTATCCATTCACTATTTTCTCTATCGGACTTATTTCTTAATCTTTACTAAAAACGCTCTTTGAAAATGTTCAGTTTTTTTTCTGCTTTTTTCGATTGAACAATCATAATTTTTAGAGACTCCTGCGTGACGTAAAACATTGAAATTTTGATATATTTTACATTATGAAGATGGAAAAACAATCGAGGTAACATTCGAAAGATAATCCACCCGGGCCTGAATATCTTTTTAAATATTGAATTATCTCGAGTTTGACTATTTAACTGATCGATTATTTAATCAACTTATCGTCCAATGCATTTTTTACCCCGAAGAAGAGAATATTGAAAGTTCTAAATGAGTTAAAGCAGCGCAGAAACCTCAGGAAATTGTTTTTATGAAAATTCTTTACGACTAGAGTTTTAAAGTCTAGGGGAGAATGGGGCAAAATGAAACAGTCGTAAAATGACTATTAGACGCAATTCAAGCAAAAAAATTTTGTTTTATTAAATATTTTTTTATTAACTTTTATTTATCAACTTTTTCCTATTCTTGAGAGTGCTGATAAGAATAATAATTTTTCATTCTACTGAATGAAAAAGAGAAGAATGAAGTGAAGGATGAAGTGAGAAGTTTTGGCAGGGGAAAATTTTGACAATCGATTAATTGAAAACAAAATGAAACATCAAAATCCAAAGTCCAGAGGAAGGGCCAGGGGGAAATCCAGAGGGGGAAAAACGAAAATGTGATGCTGAATTTCAATCGAATGAAAAATGAAAAGTGTAGCCGGCCTACTTTAATCAACTGAATTATAAGACGAATAGAAAATTATTTTTGTCATTCCGGCCGTGAGGCAGCGCTTCACGCTCCGCTCCGCTCCGCGTCCGTGAATCTCTGCCTACGGCCGTCATAACAAAAAATACTGTTCGTCACGTCTAGTGACGAAATATACTATATCGTTAGTACTCCCAATAATAAAAAAAGTTGATGAAAAAAAAAAAATTTTTTTATCGTTATTTTACATCGTTTCGACCCGGTTAGGGCATGCTACGATGATGATCAAGACTTTAAATGGTTAGATCTCACCATTCTACCCAGCCGGGTTTTGAACTCGGAACCTTTCGCACATGAGGAAAGGCACATGAAAAAAATTTAACAAAAAAAAATGTTTTTGCTTGAATTGCGTCAAACAGTCATTTTTCGACTGTTTCATTGTACCCCGCTGTTTTATTTTGCCCCACTCTCCCTTATTTCTATAAATAAATGACTATATTTTCACAATTTGAGAAAATGATTGCCATACAAACTCATTAGTTGATCAATTTAAATTCTCATAATTTTTATGTTGTATTATCTTCCACATCATCTTAAATATTGGATCATCTTGAGCTCAATTGCTAAATTGGCCGATTATTCTCCAAACTCTCCTGATTAAATTGTGTCAATAAAATCCCACGATTAAAAACCTTCGAAAAGCTTTTTAACCCTAGTCTGGTCACCAAACGCGACCCTGTGACTGGTCACCTCCGCGGGGATTCCCCGCCGTGTTAGTTAGGCTCTAGCGTTGTCGAATTCACTCTACACCGGGCGCGTTTAGCGAGTTTCCGGCAACGTCGCGTGATGGGCAATTTCATTTAACATGGGAAAAAATAATTCATCTATTTAAAATAATTTGCTTTCTGTAGGAGTTTTGAGAAATATGTTGTTCTAAAAACTACTATAATTCTTTACAATTCAATTGATAAAGTAATTTTTTTTTTGCTTTTCCGGTTAGCCAGTTAACTGTAATTAATGAAAAACGACGTGCGGCGGGGTTTCCCTGATATGGCGACCAATGTAGGATTAATCGAAATCCTTCACGACCGAAGTTTTAAAATGCATTTCTCTAAATAGATTATTGGATTTTCATAATTACAGAAAAATATCTTCATGAAAATCTACTAACTGATTAATTGAAATTTTGAAAATGATTTTTCAACCATTTTATTTTCCAAATTTTTCTGAATATGGGATCGTCTTGAGTTTAGTTGCTAAATTGAACGATTAGTCCATCAATTTACCCTTCAATTAATTTGCTCCTCCAGAAACTCGAATATTGAAAGTTCCGAATGAGTTGAAACAATGCGAAAACCTTGGAGAAATTATTTTAATTAAAAATTTTCACGACTGAAGTTTCAAAATGTATTTCTCTAGATAAATTATTCAATCTTTACTATTACAAAAAATTATCTTTATAAAAATTTATTAACTGATTAATTAAAATGTTGAAAATAATTTTTTAACTTTGTTCTCTAAATCTTCTCAAGTATCTAATCACCTCGAGTTTAGCTGTTAAATTGACCGAGTATTCCTCATCAATTTACGCTTCAATTAATTTTCTTCTCCAGAAATTCGCATGTTGAAAGTTCCGAGTGAATTAAAACAGCGCGAAAATCTCGAAGAGCTTATTTTAATTAAAATGCTTCACGACTGAAGTTTCAAAATACATTTCTCCAAGTAAATTATTGAATTTTCACAAGTACAAAAGATCATCTTCATAAAAATTTACTAATTGATTAATTGAAATATGGAAAATGATTTTTTTTATTGTTTTGTTTTCCAAATGAGTTGAAACAATGCGAAAATCGTGAGGAAGTCATGTTAATTAAAATTTTCACAATTCCAAAAAATTATATTCATAAAAATTTATTAACTGATTAATTGAAATTTGGAAAATAATTTTTTAACTTTGTTCTCCAAATCTTCTTAAGTATCGAATCACCTCGAGTTTAGCTGTTAAATTGACCGATTATTCCCCATCAATTTACGCTTCTATTAATTTTCTCTTCCAGAAATTCGAATGTTGACAGTTCCGAGTGAATTAAAACAGCGTGAAAATCTCGAAGAGCTTATTTTAATTAAAATGCTTCACGACTGAGGTTTCAAAATACATTTCCCCAAGTAAATTATTGAATTTTCACAATTACAAAAGATCATCTTCGTAAAAATTAATTAATTAATTAATTGAAACATTGAAAATGATTTTTTTTATTGTTTTGTTTTCCAAATGAGTTGAAACAAGGCGAAAATCGTGAAGAAGTCATGTTAATTGAAAATTTCACAATTCCAAAAAATTATCTTCATAAAAATTTATTAACTGATTAATTGAAATTTTGAAAATAATTTTTCAACTTTGTTCTCCAAATCTTCTTAAGTATCGAATGACCTCAACTTCAGCTGTTAAATTGACCGATTATTCCCAATCAATTTACCCTTCATCTAATTTTCTCCTCCAGAAACTCGAATGCTGGAAGTTCCAAATGAGTTGAAACGATGCGAAAAGTTTGGTGAAGTTATTTTTTAACAAAAATTCTGAAGTTAAGAGTTGAGAACGTGACTTCAAACTTTAAAATTAAAGTTTCAACTTTCTTGACTCACCGTATACACTGGATCCCTCATAACAATCATGATGATCGGCATAGAATCGTCGACGAGTGCCAGTGGCCCATGTTTCAATTCACCAGCCATGATCCCCTCGCTGTGCATATAAGTCAACTCCTTAACTTTGAGAGCCCCCTCCATGCAAGTGGCAAAGTTGTAACCTCTCCCCATAATTAAGAGGGATTTATTCTGGTACAGGGACTTGGCTAGTTCCTTCACTTTATCATCCAGCTTCAGAACTTCGCGGATTTGATTATCCAGGTTCTTTAATCCTTCAATAATCTGCGCCATAAAATTACAATCGATTTTTTCAGTGATTTTACTCGTCAATTATTGAATTATCACTTCAATCCCGGATTAATTCATTCAGTTGTTGGTATTTTTCTTTGAAGTATATCCAACAAATTGAACAAATTTTCTTTTTCATGGAAAGTTATATGGAAAAATGAAAGAAGGATTGATTTTGTACTTGACAAATTCGAAATAGTGGAATTTAGAAGAGAAATTAGTTTAGTTTGCAAATATGTCTTCAAAGGAAAAGAGTTTAGAGAAAAATGTCAAATATATTTTTTGTCAAAAATTTTATTAGCTACAAAAAATTTCTTTTAATTTCTCTCTAAACTCCTTTGTTACAGATATTTTCAAAAAATTACGTAAAAATTGATTGAACTCTTTCCTCCCATCAACAATTTCTCTAAAAAACTTAATTTGATTCGTAGTAATTACAATTTCAAAATTCAAATTGAATTAAAACATTCTATTCTCATGAAAAAATTGAGTAATCAAAGAATTCTACTTGCATTGAAAAATGTCATTTCAAATAAAAATTAGCAAAACTAAATTCGAATCAATTTCACTTTCAAAAATATTATTTACTAGAAATATTCTATTTTTATTTTTAAAAAATTAATCGATCGAAAAACGCTATTTTAATTTTTTTCATTATAATTCAGCACCGAAGCGGTAAAACGGTTGAAGTCAATTTTGACTATTGGCCGGTTTTCAATGAGTATCTCAAAATCTAAGGGAGATTTCGAAATTTAAGCAAAATTTTTGTCGTGACCTTTTTAGTAGTCCTCAATTCGCTTCACAAAAAAGCTAATTACAAAAATTTCGCTAACTCCCTTAGATTCGTAAATATTCCTCAAAAACTCAGCTGAGGACTAAATCGACTTGAATCGTTCTACTGCTTCGCAACTGAATTTGAAATAAAAAATAGAAATAATAAATCTAAATCCAAAAGAATTTACATTCCAAAAATATAAATCGTTAGGATTCTAGTGCCATCAAAAAATTGAATTCACTCAAGAGATCCACTTTTAATTTAACGAGTTAATTTCAAAATTAAACATGAAAAAAATTTAGTAAAAGTAATTCCAATTTAAAAAATCAAAATAAATGGAATGATTACCTCAAGACGTCTTGGACGAAGTGAAATCCTGTCCTCGCTCATGACCAACGCAAACATGACCAGCGCAATAAACTGTGAAGTGTACGCTTTAGTGCTGGCAACTCCGATTTCCGGTCCAGCATTGATATGCACACCGCAGTGTGACTCTCGACAGATGCTGCTGCCCACAGTATTGGTGATACCCACGATGAGTGCCCCACGTCCCTTGCAATATCTGAGCGCCATGAGAGTGTCAGCTGTCTCCCCAGACTGGGAAATGAAGAAGCAGACATCGTCCCTGAAGACCGGGGTGTTCCTATCGAGAAAGTCGGAGGCGAGTTCAACCATAACCGGAAGTTCTGTCAGTTCTTCAAGAAGCTGGCGTGTAGCTACTGCCGAGTGGTAACTCGTACCACAGCCGATCAACATCAGGCGACGACATCTCTTTATTTCGGGGATGTAATCCTGAAAGTTCACGATGAAAAATGTCATGGAAATCAATTCGATATGAATTTCATTCGCTTTCCGGAGTTGAACTGGGCAAATAGAGATATCTCTCTATATTGTAAAAATCCAAATCAACTTCTGGTGATAAAAATTTGATACTCGAAATTACAACACTGAAATTAAAGGTCACAAGGGCCACAAGAGTCAAAATAACGGTCATGAGGGTCAAAATGAAAGCCACAAGGGTCCGCATAAAGGTCACGAGGGTCAGAATAAGGTTTACAAGGGTTAGATTAAGGGTCCAAATAAGATCCACAAGGGTCAGATTAAGGGTTACAAGGGTCAGATTAAGAGGCCAAATAAGGATAACAAGGGCCAAAAGTGTAACAGGGATCAGATTAAGGGTCACAAGGGTCAGAGTAAGGGTCCAAATAAGGGACATGGTGATCAAAAACCAAAAGTCAGAAACTATTGGTCACGAGGGTCAAAATAAGGGTCACGAGGGTTATTTTCGATTTTTATAATATAGAGAGACATAGCAGGATAAGTAATACCCCTGCATAAGTAATGCCGCAATAAATAAAATAAAATGAATTAATTGATCAATTAATTGTGGTTAATTAACAATTAACGTCAATTTCATTAATTACATTCCGTCCAGTCCTATTCCACCAATCTTGATTAATTTCAATCGGTTGCAGGTCTAAATATTACGGAACCATTATATTACGGTAATAATATATTATGTCATCAGGCGATGAAAGTATTATCTGGCGAATGCGCCTTCACATTCGCCAGATAATACTTTCATCGCCGAGTGACATATGATATTTTATGTCATTGGGCCCGAAAACCGCGATCTAACCGAGCAAAGCGAGGTTAGAATCGCGGTTTATCGGGCCTAATGACATAAAAATATTACGCAGAAAATTATTACGGGACAAAAAATTATTGAACCGTAATATTACCGTACATAAAGGTATGGAATCAAAGACAAACCTTTATCTGCTCGATTAGGAATTCCCCGAAAATCAAATCGATACAATAATAGCCCAACACCAAAAAATATGACCCGAGGTCAGTTACCATCGATTACTCAACAGGTGTATGAGTTGGTACGATTATATTAATCCACCAAAACAGAATAAAATTACCTCAAACATTCACACACAAAATCGAAGATTCTTCAACAAAAGTTAGTTATATCGGAATGCTCGACACGGGTGCCTTGAAATAATTACCATGCCTCTTCACTTCATCCTCAGCCAAAAAGGCGCAAAACTACTATTACACAAAGGTTTTTTATTCAACAAATTACGAATTTGTGAAACAAAAGAACCGCTATAAATAACGGAAAATAATAATGAATAATAACACCGACGTCGGTAAAAACGTTGTAATATTATTTTTGTAATACCTGCCTCAAAAGTGCACTTTTCGAAACGGATTAGTGTGCGTAAAGCGGTTGTTTTCCGTACGCTCTTGAACTTTACGCACTCGTGCACAAAAACAACAACATTACCCCCACTACCGTTTCGAAAAGTGAACTCGGCAGGTACCACAAAAAATAGGATGTGTTACACGTGCGTATGAAAAAGTGGAATTTTACGCACTAGTAACACAATATACTATTCCAATAATAATTAGACCCCATAACAATTTGGATCGTAATATTATTTACCGTAATATTATGGCGTAATATTTTTTACCGTAACATTCAGACCGGATACCATTTCAATCTACTAAAATCTGACGTTATTTGCACGAAAAAATCCCAAAAACGTAATTTTTGGTAAAATAATTCCACTCAATTTGCATATATGCAATTGAACCATGTTTACTCACAGTAATTCCACCAAGAGTAACCGAATTATTTTCGAAGTTGAGTCGACCCCTCATAGTATTAACCACCGACTCCGGCTGCTCGAAGATCTCTTTCTGCATGAAGTACTGATAATTTCCCTTCATGATCTGCTGGATTTCCATTTTAAGAATCGTGATTTCACGCCCATGTGGGTCGTCCATGCATCTACGCAGACGGTGGATGCTCAGGGTGCCTGACTTTACAGCGGCTACATCATCATCCTGAAATTAACCACCACCGAAACAATCGTTAATAGATGCACTGGATCGAGAAACTTATCCCCAAAGCAGGAAATTCGTTCGTTTATTACTCATTAGCAAGAAAATAACAACTTCTATCAATGTTCTCATGCATTGGGCGACTTTACTTCAATGCATCATATCTTGTTGAACAAAAAAATTTGAGAAAATGAGAAATACTGTATCGAATCACCCTGTATATGATACAGAATCACTGAATAATGTATCTTCACTGAAAAACATATTGTCAGTACCGAAAATAAAAGCAACAACAGCCAGACATGAGCATAATCATAAATTTTAGTTAAAGTTAAATTTTAAAGAAATCAATTGTTAATATTACTCGTCAATTTTTTAATTATTAAATTAATCATCAATTAAATATTCAAATTTCGAAATATTTTTACGATCAATAATTGAGATCGAAAGGTAGAGGATTATGTGGCTAATCGAAAATCTCTTTATGAAATTTAGAAATATTTACTCAATAGTCAATGAGAAATTTAAATTACCAATAATTATATTATTTTTCGATTTTCAATTAAAATAAATACACCTTAATTATTATAAGGTACAACTTCTCATAATATTACTAAATTAATGTCTGATGCCGATCCATGAAGACAGCGGTATGATCCATAACAATGACACCATCAACTGACTGATTTAATTAGATTTGAATTTCCATAGGGAAATGGTAAATGTTGGATGTGAAATCGTCTAAATGACGTGACTGAAGCGAGAAACATCCCAAACAACAAGTTTGAAACAGGAATTTCTATCAACGTTATCATGCACTGGGCGCCTCTATTTCAATGCATCATATTTTGTTGAACAAAAAGAATTGAGAAAATGAGAATTACTGTAACGAATCTCTGTATGTGATACATAATCACTGAATAATGTATCTTCACTGGAAAACCGTTTGTCCGTGCCAAAAATAAATGCGAAGACAGCGTTATGGCCCATACCACTGACACCATTAATTGACTGATTTTATTAGATTTAGATTTGCAGAGAGAAATGGTAAATGTTGGATATTCAATTATTCAGATGATGAGTAATAGGGAACTTGCATGAATTTTTTTCAATTTTCTAATCTCAAGTTGGGACCTGAATAATTCATTTTTCATTCACAAACGTTCGTTATTGCTCATTAATTAATAATTAATTGTTAAAAGTTGAAGATTTCAAACGCTTTGAAATCGCTAGTGACGTCACACAGACGGTCGAGTGCTGGACCAATCACAGAATGGCTCGGGCCGACCTAACCCAATCTTGAGGTGCGCCTCGGCCAATGGAGGACGACACCTCCCCACTCTCTTCATTTTCGACCAATTGACCAATTACCTGACCGTCTTCGTGACGTCATGACCGAAAAATTGGCTTCGAAAACGACTGATTTTCAATTAATTATCATAAGAAATCTAGGCAATATTTCTCCACAATTTTCGCCGTTTAGCTATCTATATGTTATGAGGAATGTGTGAATAGGGAAATTGGAAAGAATTGAGCTTCATGCAAATTTCCTATTGTAGGAGAAAGTACACAAGACATTCTGTTGGATAACTGAATGATAATTTCCCGAGGTGAATAAACCATCATTAAAAAATTGAATACCAAATTCACGAATTTCGATTTTATATTCAATTTTTATATGAATAAATCTTCAGACTTTAGTTCTGGATTTGGTTTTGGAATACGGATATCCCATGAATTTTTTAAATAAAGAAATAGATCGTTTCGGACTGAATAGGGGATAATGACGGCACATCTTCCTACACTTCGGAATTGACCCACTACGAAGCGCCACTTCCGCTCCAGTGACGAGAATGAAGCGGTTAATTATCGGCAGGATGGGGTATAATCATTTTCTTGTCTGTTTACTTGTTAAAATGTTGAAAGAAAACGTTATCGTTGATGCCATGCACGAAAACAATTACAGAAAAATCTGGTGAGTTCACTATACGGAGAGAAATATTCAATAAAAATTACGTATCTTTTCCGTAATTCCGGAGCGCAATATGGTTGTAGGAAATTTTACGGAACTCTTCCGTAATTTTTACCTAAAATCACGGAATTTTTTCGGAGCGTTCCGTAATTTTTACCTGAATCTCGTGTGAAAAATTACGATACCGTCACTTAAATTTCCTGAGTCGATTTCGTAATCGGTGAACGAACTGTGAGTTCCGTAATTTTTACTGGAGTCTATTCTCGAGTTTGAGGTGAACGGATTTGTGAACGGAAGTGGCTCCGTTCACGCATTTCGGTGGGGAACGAAAGTTTCCGTGAACGAATACGAATTCGCATGTAAATTAACTTCATTCACAGAGGTCATTTTCAATTCGCACACTGATTTCCAAGTCGCGAACTTCACACGTCATGATACTCTGCATTTGGAGTACATCGTAATAGATGTAGCGTATCTCCGCAAATTATCCATTTTTCAACTTATTGTAAAACAAAGAATTGAACTATAATAAATAAATTTAAACAATTAATGTTTAATTTTTCGTTCTCCAGAAGAGGTTAAGTATCCTCATACGAGTATCCTCACGTACGAATCGAAAACGACATCCGTCAACGAAATTGATTCACGTGTGGATTTAGGACGAAAACTTGCGTTCTCCAACGCGATACGTGAACGGAGCCACTTCCGTTCACAAATTCGTCCACCTCAAACTCGAGAATAGGCACCCTGAACATTTCTGTCGGTGTAGAAAATTCCATTGGATTTCTATAGAATTTCTATTTAAAAAAAATGGACTTCTCGGCTACGTCGTCAAATTTTCTTACACTCTTAATCTCACAGTTTCATTGTCAAATGGGAGTCTCGTAAAAGAGACGACTGTACCTGGGCAGGTTTCTCCTCAAGTGAGGTTTTCCCTCGCCCATCGGCGAATGAGGTACAGGGAGTTGGGGGTTGGGGGTGGGATCAGGGGAAAATCGTAAAAACCCGAGAGAATATGCAAAAAATAAAAAGCCGAGTGTATGGCCGAGTCGGTAAGGTGTCCACCTATAAAGCCAGAGGTCCTGGGTTCGAAACCTGGCACCAGTGAAATTTTTTCTAGATTATTTGATTTAGTCAATAGTACATTAGAGTACAAGGGCACAAATTTCGTTTTCGACGAATGTGAAGTTTCACATTCGTATTGTATGTATTCACATTCGATGAAAACGAAGTTTATGCCCGAGTGGTCTATATAATGTAAGAACACCAATGTAAATATTTGAAATAAAATGTTAAAATATGGAGAGAAATAGAATTAATCATGTTCGAATCATGCACAAACAACCTACAGTTTCCACGTGTCTCGAGAACCTAACTGACTACAGTTGATTCTCACCATCGTGTGTGATTGCATTCCGATCATTCGCTTGAAATACTGTCATAACATCGTAACCTACATAACTAATAACCTAGCTGTTGATGTGACGTTAAATCCAAACAAAGAAAAAAATTTTTTTAAATGTCCAAACAATCTGCGGAATTTTCCAGTAGCATCGACAAAAACTAATAAGATGCAGACATAATTCGACATAAATAATCGAATAAAAAAATTTTAAAAATTCACGAAATACTCCTATTAGAAAATCCAATTAGATTCACATTTGGATCCCACTAAGTGGGAATTAATTTTTTAAATTTTAGATTTGAGTTTATAACTTTTAATTTTTAATTTTACCTCGAGGAAGATGACCCGATCCGTGTGTTCAATGACAGCACTAGCATCAGATGCAAAGAAATACTCGACCTCTTCAGCCACGAGGGGTTGAAATTCGGCGGTTGAATCGCTTCTCGAGATCACTGGTACCTCAGCGGTCCTCCCATGAGGCCTGTGATCTGTTCCAACTGATAAAATAATCGTTATCATCACTATCATAAAACAATTTTAATACTGAGGCAGCTGTCATCCACTGGTTTGCAGCCACCAGCCCCGGGGGTGCATTCTTACTCTATATTTACAGTTATTTCATCACTTGTGCGTAAAGTGCCTTTCTACAAATTGCGATGAAAAATACGGTTTGACACTCGTGGGAACAGTGTTTCATAACCTTTGGGAGGGTGATGCTTTTCTTTGGCGAGCGCTATAAACCTCCCACGAGCCAAAAAACACTTTTCCGCACTCATATCGAAATATACAATTTCATCACTTGTGCATAAAGTGGAATTTTGCGCACGCAGAGCGTGTCCTATACATTGTGATGAAAAATATGGTCTGGCACTCGTGAGAAATAATATATTTCGATACGAGTGCGGAAAAGTGTTTTTTGGCTCGTGGGAGATTTATAGCACAAGCCGAAGGCGAGTGCAAAAAATACGTTTTCCGCACTGATCTTTACGTTTCCCACTCAGGGAATTGGTATTGACCCTTCCCCGGACTGGCAAAAGTGAAAGTCACTACGGAAAAATATCGTTCGCGTCTGGTGCCACAGGGGTTTTCGACGCGAAATATACTATTCCCATGAGTATCGAACGATATTTTTCATCACGATGTGTGGAAAAGGGACGTTTTAGGCACGCTTCGCGTTAAGAGTAAAGAGTTACTTTTTCGCTCAGCGTGATGAAAATGTTCTTTGAGCCCTGGGAAGGTAGCACTCGCCTTCTATACACCACCAATGGATCAAAAAACACTTTTATGTCATTAGGCCCGATAAACCGCGATTCTAACCTCGCTTCGCTCGGTTAGAGCGCGGTTTTCGGGCCCAACGACATAAAATAGCGTATATCACACGGCGATAAAAGCATTATTTGGCGAATGTGATTATAATCCGAGCCGAAGGCGAGGATTATAAATCCACATTCGCCAGATAATACTTTTATCGCCTAATGACATAATATACTATTTTGACACTGCCGCTACGTTCCCCTCGTGCCGAAAAGTGCCTTTTCATTTACTCGTAAATAAAAAATAAGCGAAAAGTTTTCTCTTTTACATGTAAACGAAAAAGGTACAGTTCAGCCACTCGCTGAACGTGGCATCACTGTCAAAAAATATTATTCGACACATGTGACACGGGAATTTTCAGCTCGTGTGATTGGCAGCCCTCGGCTTCGCCTCAGGCGGTCAACCGCACACTCGTGAAAATTCCGTCTCACTCGTATCGAAATATACTATTACGCGCTCGTATCAAAATATAATATTTATTAATGATTAATATCGATTTTAAGGAAATCCAAGTGAGTTGCACTTTTCTATTGTACACATCACGATTTTCCGTGGATTTTGCAATTGCATCTCATGCGGAAATACAGCAAACTCTAACATGGGATAACGTTCGAAAAATTAAATTCGCACAAGGAATATTTTCCCACCAATGCCCCACACCTGCGCTCCCATGAGAATAGTTCTTCTTGGAGCAGCCAGTATTCTGCCTGACAGATGTTACTGTACACGGTTAAAAAAATGTGACTGAATTTTCCGGAAAAAGACCAAATGAATTCGATTTAAGGGGAAAATGTCAATGGAATTTCAAGTTTCTCTGAAAATTCATGTAAACGCGCAATTTTTTAGCGGCAGAAAGACAGAAATTCCACAATTTACATGGATATTCAAATGAAAATGAATATTCATTGCCAAATTCCCTTGAATTTGCCGGAAATTCAAGGAGAGATTTCTCTAAATTTGCTAGATTTTTCCCAAAATAATTTGCAGATTAATTTTCCCAGAATAATTAAACTCAAGTTTACAGTTCCCACAGATTTTTCCATGAAATTCTGAATTTTAAATGACAAAATTCCTTGAAATTTCAGTGGAAAATTTTTGAACAGTGTGCGTCGAAACTATTGGAATGATCTTCACAGAATAGGATTCTGCGTATTTCGACAGAATTGCGCGGGAAAACCACAGACCATGCGTAGTAGTAAGCTGGTTTTTTCAGTGTTTCACTCACACCGTAGAGATGTCCTATAGGTTGGCTGGCATTGCGAGACAGAAAATAATGACGGGTAAAACTGAGCCATTTCACAACCCTCATTACCTCCGTGGATGATGAAAATGCGCAGCAAATGCTTCTTTAAACCCGCAGATACAAAGTAAAATAAAAATTCCATTTTACATCGAACGGATTCAATCATATTCAATCATCTCGTTTATTGACAAAATTTCCCCCAAAAATTTTGAAATTGTTCCTGAAAATACTCTAATGGCCCTTCTATCGGATGGCAGAAGTTAAATTTTGATTTGTTGAATAATTTGTTTGTTATAAATAAATATAACATGTTCGAAGATCTCGACAACCAATTGTCGGCAAACATTGAAACTGGTGTCAAAAATGAGGAAATTATGGGAAAAAAAACAGTTCTTAGGCCAATGCATTTTATTTCAATTTTTTTCGTTCAACTGTTTTCCACTTATGGCTCATTGAATAACGCAGATGACGCGCCGCAAGTCTCACGGTCGTTGAGACAAGCCGCGTTATATGGACGCCGTACGTGAGAGATTAAAAAATCGATCAAAAACAAGGAAAATATTGCTTTGAAGTGTCAGTGTATGTTCGGAGCTACTTGGATTTCCTCAAAAGGTAATACGTACTGACATTAATAATAATATTACCAATATTAATTGATTATTGCGAAACAGATTCTCTGCGAGTTAAGTGCGTCTTCAATTGCATCGTTATGTTAATAATTGCACAATTAATAAAGAATTATCTGAAATTAGTGGTTGAGAAATAAGACAGGACAAGTTAATTCAACTTAAACTTGAGTTTTTGATAAATATCTTGGAACGGTTGCGTTAACTTCATGGAATCCGGCGATATTCACCAAAAATTAATCTTGAAGTGGATCAAATTCATCTCAGAAATCAAGGATAAAATGCACAAATTTGGAATCGAGTTCAAAATTATGAATGGAAATAAAAAAAATCTCATTTTCAATTTTATTCAAATACTTGTAAATTTCTTTTGCAGGTATAGGTGTTGAATCAGGCTAGTAAATCAAATAACAAAATAACAAAAACGAGACAAAAAATTCCGCTCAACGTGTCAATCTGTAATCAGAGCTACTTGGATTTCCTCAAGATGTAGTGCGTATTGATATCAATAATAATATTATCAATATTAATTGATTATTGCGAAACAAATTAGTTCACTTCGCAGCGAGTTGAGTGCATCTTCAATTGCATCATTATGTTAATAATTACACAATTAATAAACAACTATCTGAAATTAGTGGTTGAGAAATAATACAGGACAAGGTAATTCAACTTAAACTTCAGTTTTCGATAAATATCTTGGAATAGTTACGTTAACTTCATTGTATCTGGCGATATTCACTAAAAAGTAATCTTCAGGTGGATCAAATTCATCTCAGAAATCAAGGATAGAATGCACACAAGGATAAATGGACACTTTCAAAATTTGGGATCGAGTTCAAAATTCTAAATGAAAATAAAAAAAATCTCATTTTCAATTTTATTTAAATACTTGTAAATTTCTTTTGCAGGTATAGGTGTTGAATCAGGCTAGTAAATCAAATAACAAAATAACAAAAACGAGACAAAAAATTCCTCTCAACGTGTCAATCTGTAATCAGAGCTACTTGGATTTCCTCAAGATGTAGTGCGTATTGATATCAATAATAATATTATCAATATTAATTGATTATTGCGAAACAAATTAGTTCACTTCGCAGCGAGTTGAGTGCATCTTCAATTGCATCATTATGTTAATAATTGCACAATTAATAAACAACTATCTGAAATTAGTGGTTGAGAAATAAGACAGGACAAGTTAATCCAACTTAAATTTTAGTTCTCGATAAATATCTCCGAATAGCTGCTTTACCTCCACTGTACCCAGCGATATTCACCAAAAACTGATTTTAAGTGGCTCAAATTCATGTCGGACATCAAGGATAAAATTAACACACAAGGACAAGTAAACATTTCCAAAATTTGGAGTCAAGTTCAAAATTCGAAATGAAAATTCAAAAATTCTCATGTCGAATTCATCGATTAATTTCAATTCTAAAAGTTCAGACGTGAATTCCTTACCCTTCACCTCATACAATCACAATTGATGCAGACACCGACGAAAATAGATATCAAGCGTCAATACAGAAAAACTCAGGCAATAAAGCAACAGCAATAATTCCCAAGCATTACCATTAGACTCCACTCCCCATATCCAGAGAGTTGAATTGAAATATAATCCTATAAATGTAAAACAGTACCTTGGGTCGTAGCTTCACCCTCTGAGGATCATCAAACGTAGATTGATATCAGGACGATGACGAAAAAAAACGCATTCATTATTCATCACATAAAGCTTATCTATAAACTAAGGATAATCTTCACACTGAGAGAACAAAATTCAACAAGGAATGAAACAAGCGAGACATTAGCGTGTTACAATAAACAGGTGAGAGATTCAAGAAATGAAGGAGAAAGATATAATCATTCGAGACATCACTGATTATTTTTGGATTCACCCCAAAAACCAGAGTAGACTTAAGATAATCTATTGATCATCAATATCAGTTAATTATTAATATTTATACCTTTGGTTTCACGTAGAAGATCATCTGTTTCAGGCAGATGGTGGAGAATGAGGCCGAGGGAGAGATCATGCAAAAAATAATATACGTGTAGTATCCAATGGTTTTTTTCATCAATATAAAAATTAAATTGATACGTTCATCGACAATAATCGTTTAATAAAAGCTCCAGCTTGTAGCAATAATTGAGTCTCTACTATTCACAAAGATAAATTAAAATATAATAATGAACGAATCAGTAATTGATTAGAGCGATTGAACTGAAGAAACATCTTCATTAATTTCGTGAATTTCTCGAGAATTAATTCAGATGTAGTGCGAATCAATCAGTTAAGGATATCGAAGTATCTTTTACAGTTTGGTACAGATCATACTATAGATTCAACCATTTTCTCGCATGAAATTTGTCAGTTAAATTACGCGATAAAAATTTGGAAAAGTCATTCAAATTACGTTTTGTATAGAATTATTATTTTTTTAAACATTCGTTGCTTGTAAATAAATATTTTAAATTGCTTAAACTTTCTTAAACCTTATTTTTTAAGGCATGAAATCGATTTCTAGTAAAATTCTGAATGTGAATAAATTTGTTACGATTTCAAACAGACAATTCTTATGGCGGTAAATGGAATGTTTATTAGTTATAGAAAAAATTAGTTATAGAAAATGTTCGTAATTTTCAAAAATTGCGATTGTTAAATTATTTCATCTTCCTCTGAAATTGAACTTTCAAATTTTTCCTTAGTTTTTCTAATTTTTTTCAGATTATTAAAATGGTTTCTATATTGATATTCAAATTCAGACCTACAAAGTTTAAATAATAAAATCATGGTAAAATGTCCGGAAACTTAAAGTCCAATGGGGCTCAAATGAAAGCTCCGACATTTGATTACAAAAGTAGAAAAGCACTTTTTTCACTGCAGAAAAAATAGCCAAAGTACTTGGATATCCTTAATAATTTCTCCACTGAAAAAAAATCGATGAATCAATAAAGCAAAAGCTTCTACAATTCGTAAAGTCAAAATTACCTTTTGAAAAATTCTAGCAATTGTTTAATTCAAATGAAAAAAAAATGCAGCAGAAGCTTCAAAATTTCTTTTTACTCGAAATTTTTGATTGGTTTCGTTAAATCAGGTATTCATGCAGTGGATTAGTCCTCGAAGGGAATGTATTAGTCCAGAGTTGCATTCATGCTCAGAATTTAATAATGAAACACTGACTATTTGATTTATCTATATCGTTCGATCACCACCACATGTTCACCCACGAGAATCTTAATCTAGGATGAGACAAAGGGTTAAACCAGATCCATTACTCGCCTTTAGAACTCCTCAGGCCTCATACGTATTTGTAGAGTGTAATTATGGGTAATGAGGTAATGCTTTGTTAATGATGAAAAATTTGATTTTTTACCTTTTCCGTAGAGAATGGGCACGTGATCGGTGAAGAGACGGGTCTTTGTTTTAATTCCAACGAGGAGGGGAGATCCTCGCCTGGTGGCGACACATTCACCTGGGAAGAACTTGCTCTTGAAGCAGAGGGCAAATGCACCTTCCTAAAATCGTAAAAAAATTCTTATTAAAACGATAATGTATTTTATGATTATTTTTTAAGGGGAGACTACTATGAGTTTTAAAAGTCACGGGCTATTGGAGGGTATTTTTTCATGCATTGATACTGATACTGAACTACTGATCCGATTTCGTTCATCCAGAGTCCCAAACTTTGTTATTATAAGACCTAAAATCATACCAAGTTTCAGGTTTCTGTCTCGATTACTTTTTAAGTTACCGTGCGAGCAAGGAATTTCAGCGAAAAAATGAAAAAACGAGAATAAAACTACATTGCTCAGGATGTAATGGTCTTTTTTCAATCCAATTAAATAGGTATCATCATGACGATTATTTAAAAAAAATACAATCGGTCGAATGGTTCAGGAGATATCGGCAAAAAACGATTTTCGAAGAATCGCTATATCTCAGGAACCGCTCAACCGATCGAGCTGAAATTTAGCATAAATTTGAGCCTCAGTAGTACCAATTAGCAGCGAGAATTTCAGCATTTTTGCCTCAATAATTCTCGAATTATGGGGACAGTTCTGGACATACGAACACACATGTGCACACAAGTACCTACACCCACACAGACATTTTTTTAAAAACATCATTTCGTCACGTTTCATGACATTTCTAGACATTGCCACCCACAATTAAGGTACTTCCGCAGTAAGTATACTTGGTGAAAATTTCAAAATGGTATAAAGACGCAATATTTGGATCATATGTTGTTGACCACATTAAAAAGATATTCCCAAACATTCAATTTTTGTGTTTTTTCCATTTTTGACGATGTATATCTCGAAAATGGGGTGGACAAGGTACTTGAAATTTTGGGAATAGTTTTTGAATGTGCTCAACAACATATGATCCAAATATTGCGTCTTTATACGCAATTCTTGCGTATTTATACATTTCGAAATTTTCACCAAGTATACTTACTGCGGAAGTTCCTTAAGAAATAAAAAAAAATCACGATTACAAAGCTTCCATTCGGGAGCAAAATTGCACCATTCATGTAAAATAGCCAGAAAAATGTTTCTGAAAGAATTGAGAATCTATTTTTAATATTTTGAGGATAACTTTTCTGACTTTTTTACATGAATGGTGAAATCTATGGGTGATTTTTAAAACTGGAGAAATTCTGTACAAAAAATGTCTTTTGATATTTCCTCTTGAACAAACGAAATGTAAAAACGAAATGTAGTAAAAACTAAATGTAATATTTTTATAATCGTATGATAAACTCACCAACTGCTGGACAACTTGTTCAACAAGTTCCCTAAATGAATAACTGGGATGTTGGGTCCAGAGGTGATGAATAAGTTTAGCAATGACTTCAGTATCTGTCTCACTCTCGAAAACGTATCCCCTCTGCTGCAAAAGTGTCTTCACTTCCTTGTAATTCGTGACGATTCCTGAAGAACAGATTAATCATGAACACCGAATATCACTCCCATGCAATCTAAATGAATCAATTAAAATGTGATCTGATTCCCAAATTGGTAAATTGAAATGTCTACAATTGAATCGACGACTGCATGATAGGAAAATCAATAATGCACGACGAAAAATCGATATAAAACGAAAGCTCAGAGTTAAGTGGACTGATCTTATCCACTATCTCGACGATAACTAATGGATTAAAGAGTTAAATAATTTTTATGATAATTTTTTTATCAATATTATTTATGAGTACTTCCTGGATTCTGGGAATATGCACTTACCGTTATGCACTACCACGAATCCATGATCGTGATCAGATCTTTGAGGATGAGCATTCACGACGGATGGTACTCCGTGGGTCGCCCAACGGGTGTGGGCGATACCCACGTGGGAATCGGTGGTTTTTTCGAAGTCAAGATTTGCTCCTAAAAATAAAAAATATAAAAATTGTTTAAGCGAGATATCTTCAAGAGGAAAGGCTCTAGACGAGAATGTGAAAGAATTTTTATACCGAATTTCATGGGCCACAAAATGTTTCTTTGGTGTTTTTTTATATATCTAGTATTTGAAAAGATATTTATCCAACAAATAGAAGTAAATTGATCGAAAAGCAATCACTTCAAGACGTACAGTGTTGAAAATTTTTGGTTGCAGTTTCTGGTATAATTTTTATACATTTTTATCACATTATAATTCCACTGAAATTTCAAAGAATTTCGTAATGGAAAAATTTTGCGGAAAAATCAAAGGTGATAGTAAATTTCAGTTCAATTATTCTATGAAAATTAATAGAAATAGGGAAAATTCAGGTAAATATTCGTTTTAACATCCTTTTTCATGGCAAATTTAATAAGTTATGGAATTCTCGTCTTCTTGCTACTCAAAATTTGGAATTTCTAAATCCGAAATCTCTAAATTGAATGTAATTCTACTCTCTTGAAGATTATTAGTCAACTGGACATTAGAATTAATTTTTTTTACAATGTTTAACAAAAATGGTTTACTGTCGCAATATCTTCCAGAGAAAAGTGTCTAGAAGAGAATGTAATAAAACTTTTTGTGGAGAATTTCATGGGCCACAAAAAGTTTCTGTGGTGTTTTTCGATACATCTAAACAAATGGAAGTAAATTGATCCAAGAATAATCATTTCAAAACGTACACTGCTAAAAATTGTTGGTTGCAATTTCTGGTATAATTCTCGACAATTTTTGTCACATTACAATTCTACTGAAATTTCAAGCGATTTCGTAATTGAAAAATTTTACGGAAAAATAAATAAGAACTATAAATTTTTGTTCAATTATTCCATGACAGCTAAATGAACCTTTGAATGTTTAATTAAGTAAAAATTCACTATAATTTAGTCTTGAATATAAATTTTTTAATTGAAAATTCAATAAGTTAAAAAATTCTCGTCTTCTTGCTACTCAAAATTTTGAATTTCTTTGCATTTTTTGTGAAATTTGAAATTTCACGATTTATTTCCCCCAAAATCGAATTCAATTTCAAAGTACTAGTCAACTATCCAAGAAATTTCATTTTTTTTTCAACACGGCACATGAAATCTTTATTCATTGCGTTCATTATGTCTCTAAACAAAAAAAATAATTGAATATATTTAAAAGGATTTCATCTACAGTCAGAGAAATGATGCATTTGAATCAAATAAAACACTTCAGTTGAAAGTTTTCCATTCACTTTAACAATATTTTTGTTGTAAATTAATAAACTCATGTATTAACACGTATGAAAAAATGCTATAGGAAATCCTATGGAGAATTCGAATATTTCCAATAGGATTTTTTGGATAGGATTTCCTATCGGATTTCCCACAAGATTTCCTATAGGATTTTCTATAGGATTCCCTATAGAGTTTCCTATCAGATTTATGATTCTAATCCTGACCCTTGTGACCGATTGGTTTCGAGTCTCAATTTTGTGTTACTTTCTATAGAAAACCCTATAGTGAATTCTATAGGAAATCCTATAGGAAATTCCACCAGAAAAATCCTATAGGAAATGTTCAAATTCTCCATACGATTTTTTCATGCGTGTTAATTTTAATAAAAGTATTAAAGTCATATGGAAAATCGATTCATTCACTCTTAATGCTGAATTATTACGTGTTAATAAATCCTTTCTCTTTGTCTAAACAATCATTTTGTTTTTCACCAACAGGTTTTATTTCAATCAAGGAAAAAACATTCCTTTGTTTAAAATAAACTTTATTAAATTCAAATAAACCATTTCTCTGGGTGAAGATCGTCAAGGAAACTCTATACTAGCCAATTTGAAGTATTAATAGACGATAGTTAATTCGATTCGCTTGAAGGAATTTTTTATTTTACTTGTTTTTTATCCGAGAGAGAGGTGAACTTACGACTGAAAATTTCATCCTCAAGCGCTTTGACCTTTCCCTGTTTCTTCACGATGGCAATATCCTCGCCATTAGGAGAGTCCAGAGCCACTCCTGCAAAAAAATATGCAAAAATGTGGAAAAAAGCGGAGATAGTTGAAAATGCAAATGCAGCAGGTTTTCGTTCGTCATAGTTCTTTCACTCCTCGTTGAGGATGAGCTCTTTGCAGAGTCTTTGGAATGCACTCCTCAGCCCTCGAACGTGGGTTGGATTTTGATTATTATCTTTTGAGTTTCTTGGAAACTATTGGAATCAGAGAGAAACATCAGATCATTTTTGTGGGGAATTTCAAGAGCTACAGAAATTATAAAAGAAAAAATTTTCAGCTTGCTACATTGAGAAAAATGACAAAGTTCTCAAACAAGTCTTATTTGTGCCGAAAAATAATTTTCTTTAATGATATCCAAGTTTCTTTTTCAGTTTGGTACAGATCACACTATAGATTCAACAATTTTCAGTCATCAAATTGGTCAATTAAATTGCGTGAGAAAAATTGCGTATTCAAAATTATTTTTGTTTTAAACATTTGTTGTTTATAAATAAATAAATAATTGGAATTGTTTAAACTTTTGGAAACCTTATTTTTTAGGCATTCGATGGATTTCTGGTACAATTCTGAATATGAATAAATTTCTTACGCTTCTGAACAAATGACTTTTTCTGTACTGCTTCTCACGATTTCTCGTCTGGGAATTGGTATTACATACTTCCCAAACTCGAAAACTTGAAAATCACTGCAGAAAAATATTGTTCCTGGGCTGTTGCGATGGGGTTTTTTTACTCGTGTGGCGTTGGCCTCCGAGCCGTAGGCGAGCCCATCGCAACAGGCCGGGAAAATACTATTATGATGGAAAATTGATTGTTAATAAATTATTTTAAAAAAATGCTCGTAATTTTTAAAAATTGCAATTTTTAAGTTATTTCAGGAATCTTTCTCCAAAAGCAGACTTTCAATTTTTTTTCAAATATTTAAAATGCATTCTAACGGTGCAATATCGAAATTCAAATTCAGACCTGCAAAGTTTAAATAATAAAATTACAGGCTGAAGGCCTTCGGGCAATGAACAGTCGCAAAACATCTGGCGTCAAATCACGTTAAAAATAAATAAATAATAAAATTATTGTAAAATCTCCGGAAACTTAAGGTCAAATCGGGCTCAAATGAAAGCTCTGATGTTCGACTATAACAGTAGAAACGCATTTCACTGCAGAAAAAATAGCCAAAATACTTGGATATCCTTAAGGGGAGACTACTTGACGGGGAGACTTGGAGTGAGAGAAAAGGCACCGTTTTGTATGAATCTTCCGCCTCTGCAGCTAAATATTTCGTTGATGTCGAAAGCAGAGTAATTATTAATGCCTGAGACTTTCAAATTCGAATCAAACAATTTCTCTTTTGCTGATTTTCAACTAGCGATTTTGTTGGTCCAAATACGACTTGTTTGAGAATTTGTTTGTTTTTTTTATCAGTGTAGTTTGATTCAGATTCACAAAATAAACTATACTTGGCTGAAGGCCCCCGGGCGATGGCCAAGGAACTTGCAACAAAGTCCGTTAAAAATAAGAAAATAAACTACACAATTTTTTTTGCTTCTCCAAAAATTGATTCCTAAATTATTCAATAAATGTCATGTTCTTCTCCTCATGAAAATGATCGATTCACCTCTTCAAGACTTTATTTCATCAATTTAAAATTTAAGTAGAGCATAAATCATTGAGGTTGAGAGGAATAATTACTATTCATGATCGATAGTAATAAGTTGAACGGTTGAATGGAGGATTTGAATACTATTCATGATATTTCGTGATTGGAATTAATTATTCCATTCTTGACCCATTTTTATCCCTTCAGAATCCATTGAGTGAAAAATGAAGGAAAACGTCGAGATTGGGAGGAAAATTCAATGAGGAATTGAATACTTAAGCTTTCTTCGCTTTTTATTAGTAAAATTCAGCAGCTAAGTGGTTAAACAGTTCAAGTCGATTGAACCTTAACTGAGTTTTTGAGAAATATCTCCGAATCTAAGGGAGATAACGAAATTTTTGTACTGAGCGTTTTTGTAGAGCGAATTGAGGGCTACAAAAAAGCTCTTGACAAAAAGTATGCTATCTCCCTTAGATTTCGAGTTATTCATTGAAAAATGAAAACTAGCCAATAGTCAAAATCGACTTAAATCGTTTTACCGCTTCGCTACTGAATTCGTCGCATCGAGAGTGGAAAATCAATTACTTCTGCATTAATTGTCCCATCCGTTGGAACCACAATTTCAATCGATGTCAATTGATTAATCTCCGATTTGAGGTAACAGGAAAATTAATATTTTGTGGTTATCGATAATTCAATTATATTTTTGATTCTCTGGTTTAATTGAAACAGAGGCGAATGTACAAATCAATACCAAATGCTAATAACATTGCGTGTTATTTTTATATGAAAAGAAAAACATGTGTAGTGACTTGAAAAAAATGGAAAAATCATTGAAAAAATTGTGAAAAATTATGTTGAAAAAATTAGAGGGATTGAGTGAGGAGAGGTGATGATTTCGAAATGGATTTATGGATTTTCGATAAATCTGTTTATTTGAGAGAATAATTTTTGAACTCTTCTTCTATTCTCCACTACCTCATTTGTCATAAGTTTGTTTGCGTTAATTACCGATAAACAATCGTAATAGGTCGATCTAGAGATATTAAGCACCAGCATATGTATTTTACCCAGAATAATGCAACAAAAATCGTTGAAAAATAATGAAGAATGAAAGAAAGAAGAGATTTTTTTCTCTAGACTAGCTGCAAAAACTGCAGAAGTGAAAAAACAATTGATGAATTTATTTTTAATAGGAAATTGAATTAAAATCGTGATGTCTTAATTTAAACGAAACAGTAGAATCTAATCGAAATCGGATAGACGAACCCGAAGAATCATTTCTTAGTTGAAAATTCGAAATGTTTTATAAACATTGACATTTAATTTCTTCTTCTCTTTGTAAAAATGCAAATTTATTTATATTTGTTATGAATATGCTACTGGCACTCACTAAACCCGATACAAACATGGAAGAAAAAAATTATAATTGAAATAATTAATATAATTAACATTTTTCGATGAAAAATTCATAAAATATCATAATTGGCTTCAATTTATTCTAAAATCATTGAGATGAAAGACAGAAATCAATTGATTAATTTCATCAATTTTCTTTCAACAGGACTAACTTCTTATATATGTATATTAATTAAAAACGTAATTGTATGTAAATATTTATTATTTCTACTTCATTCAAATGAACTTGAAAAAATAATCTGAATGAGATATCAATTTCCACGTTAATTAATCACTGTTAATTTATTTATTTTTATTTATTTAAGATACGTGCCTGCGTGAGTTTACATTGATAAAAGACACTCACATTACACGGGGGGGGGGTAGTTAATAATACATTGTTAGATCTTAAAAATAATAAACAGCCGTGCCTGCAGAGAGAAGGAACACAAGCAAAACAACGAAAGTTGGGTTATCGACATTCATTTCTCTATTCCATGCTTAGCATTCGGTCCCTGAATTCCAGCGTTCAGTAATAAAGAAGACTAGTTGTTTTAATTGCTTAGGGTTTTTAATGTCTAAAAGAGTGGCCAGCCAGTCTTGCTCGAATCTAGTGGATGTAACATCATTAAAGTGGGCCACTCTCAGGGCATGATAGTATGGACAACTGATAATTACATGTTTAAAGCTTTCCAGGCCAAAATCGCAGAGTTTACAATATTTTTGGGGTTCAAGCTTGTAGATTTTTTTGTGATACAAAAGTCTACACGAATGAACATTAGACAGACGAATTTGTGCAATCGTACGGGCATAAGCCATTGGGCAGCATAATAACACATATCTAGGGGTTTTAGTTGAGAAATCGCGGTTAATATTGAATTGTAATGAGCTACTCTCAGCGTGCCTCAAGTAGTCCTGGGCTCTCATATTATCATTAAATCTAGACAGAACTTTCCCCTGGTTGAGGCACCAGACCTCAGGATCAATACAAAAACAAAGGAAGGACATATCGATCTCATCAAGTATGTTCTTCAGTCTCAATAACCAATTGCACTCCACACTGTTTGAGGGTTTGTCAAGAAGATAAACTAGACGATGCCAACAAATCAGAGGGAGTCGATTAGGCTCCATCCTGAGCACCTTGATTACCCAGTTAATGGTGAGCTCCAGAGCCCTGACAGCCAGACACCTCAGACCAAGTTCCATTCTAATCGCGTATCCGGGAGTATTGATTGGAAGCAACAAAATTTGTTTATAAAAATCATTCTGAATTTTTTCTATCTGATCGAAGTGCCCAAGACCCCATGATGCTACTGCATAGAGTAACGTTGGTGAAACCACACTCTCAAAAAGCTTTAGTTTTGTGCACCAGGCATCAGAGTTCGTTTTAATAAGAATCGATTTCGAAACCCCAATGGCAGATTTAGCTTTTGTAATTGTATGATCTACAGTATGTCTGCCTGTCAGATTACTTTCTAATAACACCCCCAAATATTCGTAAGACTTTACAGTTTCAATTAAATTGCCAGCATAACTAAATGCCGTTCTCTCCGCCCTATGAATTCTGGCACTAACTCTAAAAGGGAGAACTTTTGTTTTAGCCGTGTTAACAACTAGCCCATTCAGTGTACAATATTCCTCAAGAGCACGAAGTTTATTTCGTACATCCTGAGGACCATGACATAAGATAGCAGTGTCATCTGCGTAAGTTGGCATGAGGAGGTCATGCTCGGCATCGATACTGAGCCCTCTGAAGCCTTTCTCTCTGAAAAATGTCTGTTAATTATGAGAAAATAAACAATCGATCGATATTTTCGAACCGGACACAAAACACTAGATGCAAAGGTTTGAATTTTTCATAATTTGTTTTTGCATATAATTGATTATTCACAAAAAAAACAGTTTTNAAGAACTTTTGTTTTAGCCGTGTTAATAACTAGCCCATTCAGTGTACAATATTCCTCAAGAGCACGAAGTTTATTTCGTACATCCTGAGGACCATGACACAAGATAGCAGTGTCATCTGCGTAAGTTGGCATGAGGAGGTCATGCTCGGCATCGATACTGAGCCCTCTGAAGCCTTTCTCTCTGAAAAATGTTTCAAAGTCTGAGACGAATAGGATGNCTGTTAATTATGAGAAAATAAACAATCGATCGATATTTTCGAACCGGACACAAAACACTAGATGCAAAGGTTTGAATTTTTCATAATTTGTTTTTGCATATAATTGATTATTCACAAAAAAAACAGTTTTAAGAAATCAATTGTTTTCTCTCAAAAAATAATTGGTGAATTTATTTGTAATAGTAAATTGAATGAAAATCGTGATGTCTTCATTTAAACGAAACAGTAGAACCTAATCGAAATAGGAAGTTGGTACTAAGTTGAAAATTCGAAATATTTCATAAACATTGACATTTGATTTCTCCTTCTCCTTGTAAAAATGCCAATCTGTAAAAGTCATCGAACGAATGACGCAAAAATTATGTGAAAGCAATTAGAGGCGTTGACTGCGAGAAGAAGATTATTAATCGAATAAGTTCACGGAAAAATGTCAGGAAAATTATCTTGCAGATAATTTTATGGGTTACAAAAGAGATCTTTTCATATTTCACTCTAAACCCACTAGTTTCTTTTCATCATCATTGTAAACCCACTAATTGTGAAAATATTTACCAAAAAAATATAGTTTCATCCTGTTCCTTCTTACCCTACTAATGAATTAAATTACCTGCAGAGTCATATCCTCTGTACTCCAACCGCTTCAATCCTCCCACCAAGAGCAGCAGAATCTCCTGTCTCGTCCTTGGGGTCAAGTGGTTCAAATAAGCAAAAATTCCTGGAACAAATGAATCAATTAAACCATCAATATTAAAAATCACCGCTCAATTAAAAATTTTCCACCTCAGGAAATACTAAGTAAAGTTAAAGGACAACACCTTTCCATTCAACAAGTCCATTATTTCCACTTTCAAGTCTAACCTTGCGAGAATGGAAAAATCACGACCTTGAAGAAATTCGAAAGGCTTTCGTTATCGTCTCACTCCCCCCCCCCCCCCCCCNGCCAATGCGAGAATTCACTCGTCCCATAAAATGCGGAAACTGCATCTCAACACGACAATCACTATATTCGACTGCATTCCAGACGCGCGAGTCTATGGCATCCGTTTTCTATCTATTTTTAAATTGTAGACAAATTCCACTGCAATAAAATAACAAATTTCCTAGAAATCGGAGAATCCCCTGAGGAAATGTGTGTTTACTAGTCGTGATAAGGATTGCTGCGAAAAAATTCGATTGCGGTAACGGAGACGAGTCATTGTGAGACAAACCTTCGAGTGTATCAATTTTATCTATCGTCAATTGGTGATGAAGAGTTTCGATTGGAGCACTTATAAAAATTTTAAAGACAGATTTTGAAAATGGCAATTATCTCAGATATGAGTGGTTTCATAGATAAATGTTATTGAACCTTTTTTGTTGCTAAGGAAATCCTCTAAGGGAGAGTGGGGCAAAATGAAACAGCCGAAAATGAACTATTTGACGCAATTCAAGCAAAAGAAATTTTTTTTTATCAACTTTTTTATTATTGGGCGCACTGTTGAGAATAGTAATTTCGTTTTATAGTTCAATTGATTAGATTAGGCCGATTATACTTTTCGTTGTTCATTCAATTGAAATGCAACATCACATTTTCTTTTTTCCCCCACTGGGGTCTCTCCCTGAACCTTGCTCTGGATTTAGATTTTGCTATTTCATTTTCTTTTCAATTAATCAGTGGAAAATCTTCTCCCCTCAAAATATCTCATTCTATTGAATGGAAAATTATTATTCTCATTAGTACTCCCAAGAATAAAAAAAGTTGAAAAACAAAAGTTGGAAATTTTTTTTTTATCGTTATTTTACATCGCTTTGACCCGGCCGGAATGTGAACTGGGAACCTTTCGCATGCGTGAGGTAACGAACTTACCCACTGCGCCAAGCCACCGATTTAAAAAAAAAGTTAAATAAAAAAAAATATTGCTTGGATTGCGTCGTTTTTGGACTGTTTCATTCTCCCCATGTTTCATTTCACCCCATTATTTCATTTTGCCCCACTTCCCCCCTCCCCTATATGAATGATTTTTTTTATATTTTCGTCTAAAATCAATCGTTATAGAGAAAATTGCAAGTGAATCATTCCAAGTTTTTTCCAAGGGGTTCATTGTAAACATCTTAGGAGTGAAAGAGACATCAGATTAGAATAATGTTAGAAATTCTGTTGAAAAGTCATTCATTACATCAAATTATGATAAAATGAAAATGGCTTCGCCTCAATATGCCAATAAAGAATTTCGATTAACTAAGTGATGAAAAAATTACTGATTTGGAAGAAGGATTTAGACAATGATCATTATCTCGGACACGAGTGGTTCCACGGAAAAATGTTATCAAAGCTTTCTGCTAGCTGAGCAGATTCTCGTCATGAACGATTTTTTGATATTCTTTTCTAAAATCATTCGTTACGTCATATAATCGTCACATGACAAATGCTAGTTACAGTAAACCCCCCCCCCCCTAAATGCTCGCCTGCACGGCCAAAAATTGTTTATTTGAATTAAATAACTTTTATTTGAATCAAATAAATCGCTTATTTGATTCTAATAGAGAATTTCTTTGATTCAAATAAAGTTTATTGCACGGCGCGACATAAATAAACTTTTTGTGGGTGTGCGTAAATGCTCACTGACCCACCGCGCGAAGGGAATCGTTCCCCCACCAATCATTCCCCTCAATACGTGTTCTCTCTCGAATCTGTCTGCCACTCTGTCCGTGGCTTTTCCCCCACCAACAGTTTTACATTCATCTTTTTCCAACTGCGGTGTTTTCGCTCCCTCTCCGTCAGAAGGAGGGCACCAGCATAAGTATTAGTCCGGAGAATTCAATCCCCCGGAGCTGAGCACTTAAGGGGTAACGGAACCCGTCGCACGTAGAGGTTAGGGGTCCCCCCTATCGGTATTGCAGGTTCCCGTGGTTTTTTGGATTTTGTACGTGAAAAGTACAAAAGCCCATAAAATATAAATAAATGGATCTAAATAAATAATAATGGTATGGAAACATTCTACATCATTTTCTGATGCAATTGGTGCCCTGTAAAGGACATGTTACCTCCTGGATACCACCCAATCATCATAAACAAGTTTTTACGAAAATTACGCGACAACAGTACGTTTTTATACTGAAAATCTCTGTCTTGGACCTCACTCGATCGCTCTCTCCTCATGAAAAAAGCCATCGGCTAAGAAAAATCTACAAAAAATCGGTTTTTCTACCATGACTTGGCAGATTCCTACAAATAAAATGGCGTCGGCCTTGCCCTGGTCCTTGCCGTTAAATAATTTGCAATTTTTTTTGTATAAATAAGAAAAGCATGAGAAGAGAGCGATGCGTTCCGCTACTCTGAATATGGGGAAAAAGTTGCATTGATTCTCATTGCATAGAATCCAAGAAAACTTGTTTTTGGTAAACGCCTTTTTGTGGTCGGTGCCGTTACCCCTTAAGGAGGGTTTATTGTACGGAAATTTTTATCGCATTAACAAATTATGACGGTATTATCATATGACCATCATATTCCAACTGAATAGATCTTGACCACTCCCCAATTTTATCAGTAAAAATTTTTTAATTATTCATATTGAGAATAATTCCGGTTCCCCTCCTACCACATCTAAATACAAAATTTCTGATATGAATAAGGGGAAGCGTTGACTCAATATTCCAAATGAAGTTTTAATTTTTAATTTGGTGTTGAAAACACGAGATGACAAAATTCTAAGCACAGAATTATATTGATGAGATGAACAACAGATTAAACGAATTACCGTGTGAACTAACTAAAAATTGATAACAATGTGAGCACGCACTTTTACCAGAGTATCAACAAACATTGAATTCTGAGAATTCGTATTCTAAAGTGTGTTCTAGAAGGAATTGAATTGTAATTATGATCAAAATCTTATTCAGTAGGCATAGGAATTAAAACATGAGCAAATGATTCCAAATCCCATCCAATCATTTCCTATGACGTCAAAAAAATGTGGAACGCTATATAAATTCCCTTCTTTAATGAAAAAAGTTTAATGATAAATGACATAATTATAATTAAATAATCATTTACTATTAATAATTATTTATTATTGTATTTATAATACAATAATTATTGAATTACTTATTAATTATTTATTATTAATTATTTATTAAATAATTATTGTGGTATGAAAATTTAATAGCTGATAAATTGGGACATGTGATTCTCATCGGTTATATTGCTTTTCGAAATGAGAATGATTGTAAACAAATAATATTATTGACTAGTTGAATGAATTTTGAACTGGTTTTTTGCTATTTATGGACCACTTAGAATCCGCAAAGGACTGCAGAGGCCAAAAGCTACGTTCTCATAAACAATTAATTCAGTAGTGAAGTGGTAAACCGGTATAAGTCGATTTTGACTATTGCCCAGTTTTCAATGAATATCTCAAAATCTGAGGTAAATAGCAAAATTTTTGCCATAACCATTTTTGTAGAGCAAATTGAGAGCTACAAAAAAGGAAATCACAACAATTTCGCTATTTCCCTTAGATTCCGAGATATTTATTCAGTTCCGCTTGAGCCACCGTGGCGATCGGACGTGTTTCACCGTCGCTCCCGATGAGTCCAAGTGTTCTCATGGCTTTCCATCTCAAATGTGAATTTAAGTAACTCAAAAAGTTATTGTCGTCAAACTAATAGTTCTTCAGTGCAACAAATAGTGAAAACTTGTTTACAAGACCTTATTTGTTCATCATGAGTCCACCAAGCAACGAGTCTACGTTAGTAGACAGCACCAACAACAAAAAAACAAGCCCCAGCTATTCGAGCATCGCTCAACGATCCTCAAGTCCCACATTCGAACACGCTATTATTTTGGACAGATCCACAGCAATAGATGCATCTCATGAAGACTACATTCTTGCTCTTACTAAAGTAATTGCAGCCTCAAAGATAGTTACTACTGACTTGATTTCCAATGATCGTATCATTGTCTGGCTTGATAGTAAACGCTCAGCAGATGACCTCATCTCTTCCAGGAAATACATTGTTATTGAACACCAGGTAATCAACATTCGACCGTACCTCACCCAGAAGAAACGAATTGTGTTCTCACACGTATTCCCCCCTGTTGACAACAAATACTTAGAAAATAAACTGGCTGAAATAGGTATCAAACTCGTTACTCCCATTACAACCTTGAGTGCTGGGTTCCAAAACAAAGAACTCTCTCACATCTCGCGTCAAAAGAGACAATCATATGTTTCTCCAGAAGATCTTGACAAGCTCCCCAGTCGTATCGAAACAAATGTACATGGGAAATCCATCTGGGTTTACATCACTTCTGATGCTAGTGGATGTTTCTCTTGCAAGCAAGACGGTCACATGGCAAAAAATTGTCCAACTAAGATTAATCCCTCTCTCAGCCAACTTAACACTCTCATTCCCACTGGAAGCCAACCCCCTCCCGAAATCTTTCCAAAATTGCCTCCAACCCAACACTCCCCCAAACATCCCCCCAATTTCCCTCCCGGTCACAATGAGGCCTCCTCCCCCACCAGTCACCAAGATATCCTCTCTACCTCTGAGATCCACCCTCCCCAAGGCAAAAGAACTCACTCATCGTCAACTTCCTCATCTGAATCAACAACTGAAGTAATTGAAGATAACCTACCCACAATGGAAACAGACGACATCAACAACACAAGATGTGAATCAGATCCAAATAAAAAGGACTCCACGACTGGAGCAAAAAAGCCCATCTCCAAAAACCGAAGACCATCTATGGACAACGAGGCACCTAATAGTCCCCCAGTGACCTCCAAGGAAGATCCCGCATGTTCTTCTATCTCCAACAGTCCAAAAGAGTTGAACTGGGATAAAGTTAGAAAAAGATTAGAACGCAACCCAGAACGATAACCAATTGACTTCAAAACTCTCCAAACTCTTCTGATGACAGCAGACGAATCCAACGAAACCTGGCAAGAAATTCAATACATGAAAGGATTATCAACTATGATCAGTGAAGTTCGTCACCTCCTTCCCACTCAAGAGCTTAAGAATCGTGCCTCGTCTTACCAACAAGTGATTCGGGATCGTTATCATGGTCGATATTGATATTTAGAACTAGTACCTGGTTTAGCACACATCATGATTACCCAATGATTTGTATATGTATTCAAAAAAGTTACTAGAATGTATAATATGTATTTGCTTATGTATTTATATATCTATTTTTTTTCTCTTTCTTTGTATAGCTGTATAGCCCTAAGGGTTCGACGCTTAAATAATTTTAAAAAAAAGATATTTATTGAAAACTGGCCAATAGTCAATATCGACTTATACCGGTTTACCACTTCGCTGCTGAATAGAAAGAAGGAATATCGAATATGACAGGAAAAAGGGCATCAACACCCCGGCCGCGGCATGATTACGATTCCTTTGGTGCTACGATTTAACTTATGTTTTCCGTGCTATTTTTCCCCAGGATTATGGGAAAAACAATGAAAAAATTCCATTTCCATTATTTCTCCTGAATTATAGAGATTCTTGACAGAAGACAGGGGTTCCTAGAGCGTTCCGCATTTTGTAGCGTCACTGGATATTGCTGGATGGGATTTTAGAGTACACTGAGAGAAAAACGTAAAAGTCCCCTAACAAGTCTTACTTGTGCCAAGAAAATAGTTTTTTGAAAAGGATCAAAAAAGGATTTTTTTGTGCCAAACATGCAGAGAGTGCGCCGGAATGAAAAATTGTTTTCGCAAAAATAAATTTAGTAGTTAAAAAAAAAATGCATTCTCTGTACATACAAGAAATGTCATTTTTAGCACTACTCCTTCGTTATTTGATACTCCCATACATATTTTGCTCCCGAAAAATCTTTGTTTTATGCGAAACAAGGGATAGTAGTTTTCTGTTTCGGCTGTCTAATAATCACAGACAACAAATGAAGCCTTAAATAAATCAATAATAATGATATAATAGCAATCTTGTAACTTAGGGATAAAATATTTGTTTATAAATTTTCCTCTATATGAGATATTTTCATCCTGAAAAGGCACCGACTGGTGTGAATTATCCGCCTCTTGAACCAAATATTTCGTTGCTGTTGAAAGCAGAACAATTATTCATGCTCGAGACTTTCAAATTCGAACCAAACAAATTCTTTTTTGGCAATTTTCAACTAGCGATTTTGTTGGCCCAAACAAGACTTGTTTGACAACGTGTTTGGTTTTCTCTCAGTGTAGGTATGAGGGGAATCAGTATAATTCTCAATATTAGTTGACAAGACAAATTTAATGAAAAAATTCGAAAATCCAAACTGACATTTGAACCCGGGACCTTCTGATTATGTATCAGGTGCTCTCCCAATTTAGGGTATGGTCACAAGGGTCACAAAAATGGAGTCACTAAGGTCACGAAGTCACAAAGGTCACATAAAAAAAGAAGTCGCTAGGGTCACGAGGGTCACAAAGGCGACACAGCCTTGGTTAAATGCGTTTCACTGAAAATCCTTTTGTTGCAGATTTTGTTGACTGTATTTTTGCCATTATTTTTGCATATTTTTTAGAAAAAAAAATTCATAAAAAAAAATCTCCAACAAAAAAATTTCCATTAATATTAAGTTTTGTTGTTGCGATGTTGTAAATATAATCATTGAATTAAAATATGGAAATGGGAGTGCATGAATTGGCATGTCAAGTACCTATACGAAGCTTTATGGAAATGTTCGTGTCTTGAAAAATAGGGATTGAAATGCTTATATCCCAAAAACTAATTGAGAGGGAATTTTTTCTTTATTTTTCAGGTATCGCTGAGGAAAAATGGTCCGGAAATCTTCCCCCGGCCGCTTGCTCTAGTTTAATACCAAAATTTGATGATTACAGATCTTCAAATATAGAGTCTAAATCCAACAATGAAAATTATTGAAATATCCTCACTGCAATTTTCCTCGCACCTTTTCCCCACAAAAAAACACCTGAACAAATTGAAAAGGTCGACCTCAAAAACCCCGTTCCCACCTGAAATGCCACAAATTATTTACAATAATAATTCCTTCCTATTTCCCAACTTCATCACTAAACATCTGTCAATTCTCCACGTCATTCCGAACAAAGTAAGAGTTTCTGTTAAATGTCAGAAGTCAGAAGGCGCCTCGACTATCCCAATAAGTATAAGAAAATAAAATCACGAGATATTGCAGAGACACGAAACTTTCACTCAGCCCCAATAACTCGTTCCGCAATTTTTACCCATACGGACGTGAAGTAAAAAAATTTTAAGTCGAGTTCTAACTGAAACTTCGAGTACGTGAGTTGGCGTAGGTCGTTGTCCCCGGGGCGGAACCTTTTTATTTACTAATATAGTGTATGTTTTGTCTTACGAAATAACAAAGTGTTCTTTTCAAATGAAGTGCTTGCGACACTCAAGATTCAATTTCCCATTTTTTCCCTCTCTCTCTCTCTCTCTCTCTCTCTCTCTCTTGTGATTCGAGAAGAAATCGAACGTTTTTTTTATAAATCGCCCTTGATAGCCGAAAACGAAAGTCATACACGTGGAGTTTAGGACATGACGTTCCACGGAAATTTGATTATTTCTTTTATCGAGTAGACCTAGCGTCCGGCCGATTGTTTTTGTTATCACGAGTCTTTTATGGATTGTGATGTTTTTAATGGGCGATCGATTTTTCTCATCAGGCACTGAGAATTTCCGCATAAAACATTGGAGAATGAGGATTTTCAGGGGAGATGAAAAGGAAATTACTGCAATTATTTTCCTATTTGGGCGTTTATGCGGGGAACGAGGAGGATTAGGAGAAAATGTGATAAAACATCTTTTATAGAAAATTTCCTCGACTACAGAAAAGCTTCAGAGGTATTTTGCCCTCAAGCCATTAGTTTCTGAGATAATCACCTAATTATGAAATCACCTTGGAAGTGGAATATGTTAGCAGAGTTTTGACATTTTTGTTAATAGCTCACGTATTTCGGCAGGAAGTGAGGTTAAGGAAAAATGTCATATGACGCTCTTTGATGGAAATTGCAGTCGCTATAAATCAACTCTATAAGTATTTTGCCCTCGAACCACTAGTTTCTGAGATAATCGCTCGATTATGAAACTAGTTTTGAAGTGGAATATCGTAAGACTTCTGACGCTCTTTTAAAGAGCTTGTGTATCTCGAGAACGAGTGGTTGTAGGAGAAAAAGTCATTCTACATTTTTGATAGGAAATTTCTTCAGCTACAAAAAAGGTTCAGAAGTATTTTCCCCTAAAACCGTTAGTTTCTGAGATAATAGCATTCAAAGAGAATGAAAAAAAAACAACTTTGTTCTGTTCTGTTGTATTTTCCCTCTTCTCCATTATTCCATCGTTTATTTCTCATTAATATCATTAATTGTAGTTGATGAATTATTAGCAGATGCTTCGATCGATTAATCAACCTTTCTGAACAAGAATAATCCATTAACCAAGTGTCAACAGATCCAAAATAACTCAATACAGACGAAAATAAATTCATTTCACTCATATCAGACTTTAATTCCCACTAAATATCTCGAAATCTAACAGAAATAACTGATTTTTCGATAAAACCTTTTTTGTAGCTCGCACTCCGCTCTAAAAATAAGTTCAGGACCAAAAATTCGCTATCTCCCGTAGATTTCAAAATATTCGTCAAAAACTAATTTGAAAATCCCTGTCTCTCTTCAAATTTTCACATTCACAATCCCAAATCGCTTTTCAAATGCAAAAATGCATTAAACAAAATAAAAAAAAATCTATTGTTGTCAAACGTCAACTCCAAAACGCCAGAAAAACAAACTTTTTTCCACGCAATTAATGAATTTTTTTTGGAAAATCATTCACAAAATTGCAATTGGTGAATTTAAAATATGAAAAATGTTTGAAAAAATCCATGAAATATTGAGTTATTCCCGGTGTCTTGACGTACATATGTTGACTATCGAAACGTGTCACCCATTCGGAGCAGGAAATAGACTAATGGATGATATAATTGTCGACAGTTGTGAACGAATTGAAAAGTAGTGATGAATAACAGACTCACCACACATACTGCTGCTTGTTTTCGTTTCGATCGGCGTAAATAACTAATTCGACAAGTGACTGGAGTAACAAATACAGAGAGATCACTAGCAGTGCTCGGTCGGAGCCAGTCTGAGCCGAAAGGGAGCGCTCCCACGGATTTTATCGTCTCTCGGGAAACTTCGGCGATCGGGCGAGTTCGTGAGCGCTCGATTCCATATGATGTAAAATCGGATATTTATTTCATTGTTGCAATTCGTGAGTTGAAATTCCGCTGATCGTAAAAATTAATTGATGCAAGAATGGATTTTTTGAATGGAAAATATTGTTTTGCATCAATTTTTCGGCTGGTGGAGACAATGTGGGAGATGTGTTGAATCACATTGTGTCTTTTTTGGCGCTCATTTCAGACTGAATGGGATTAATTTTTTACTTGCTAGAAAATTCATGATGGTGAAATTGAAATAGACCTTTTCATTTGAAAGTCCAGAGGAAATATTTATTGCGTCCCCATAACTAGAAAGTTTTTGAAACAGTAATTCAAAATTCTGATGAAGATTATCATTATCATTAAGGATATCAAAGTACACTGTTAAAAATTTTTGCCTGAAATTTCCGGTACGCTTTTTGGAAATTTTTATCGAATTTAATTACCACTGAAATTTCAGGGAATTTCGTCATTGAAAATTCAGAATTTCGCGGAAAAATCAAAGAGAACTGTAAATTTCAGTTCCATTTTTCCACGGAAATGAATAGAAAAACAGAAAATTCCGGTAAATATATTCTTGAAGTTTCAGGACAGTGCCAAATTCAATATAATTTGGCACTGCATGTTTAGATTAGATTGCAAATTCAAATAAATTAAAGAATTTATTTGAATTCGAATCGTCTTTATGCTGCTTATAATTCTGAAATTTTACTGAATTTTCAGTGAAATTTGGAATTTCATGATTTTTTGCTTCCCACTGGAAGCATTGTTTTTGGTTGATTTTTCGGTTTTCTAATTTTGATTGCAAATGATCTAGAATGTTATGAAACGGGAAGAAATTATGTTTTTAGGGTCATGTCTCTACGTATAAATGTGCAGATTTGGGTATTTGGTAATTAATTTTTAGAAATTTCAACATAAATACAGTGAAATTTTTAGATACAAATTTGAAATTTTGCCTCATGGTAGCTATGAGCGAGCTCTACTTTGGTGCGTTGTTTCAGCCCGATTGGTCCAGTAGTTCCTGAGATATAACAACTTCGTCTTTATGCTCCTTAAAATTCTGAAATTTTACTCAATTTTCAGTGAAATCTGGAGTTTTATGATTTTTTTCCCCTAAATCGCATTCTGTGTCAGAGTGTCACCGTCCCGAAAATTTGGTAGCGAAGCAGTAAAACGGTTTAAGTCGATTTAGTCCTTAGCTAAGTTTTCGAGGAATATCTCCAAATCTGAGGAAGATAATATTGGAATCATTGGGGATATGAGGTACACGGAGTACAAGGTGTAAGGCACGTCTGCCGAGTACGGTTTATTATACACGACTGAAACTACAGTATTGGGCTAATCTCTGGGTCCTGTGGTGTGTGTAGGAGTGTGTGTGTATGAGCAACTGGACATCGTTGCTATATCTCCAACATAACAAAATTTTCGTAACGACCTTTTTTGTAGAGCGAATTAAGGGCTACAATCTCCCTTAGATTTCGAGATATTCATTGAAAATTCAATATTCAATAGTCAAAAGCGACTTTAAGCGTTTTACCGCTTCGCTACTGTAGTAGCAGTCAACTGTCCATGAAATTTCATTTTTTTTTCCAATCGTGTACTTTGGCAAATTTTTCTCCAGGGAAATGCTTTTATACTTTTGTAGTCGAATATTTGAGCCTCATTTGATCCCAAGTTTCCAGACATTTTACAATGATTTTATTATTTCAATTTGGAGGTCTGAATTTGAATCTCGATATTGAACCGTTAGAAAATATTTTAAAATCTGAAAAAAATAGAAATTTACTTTTGGAGGAAGATTGATGAAATAATTAAAAAATTGAAGTTTTTGAAAATTATGAGCATTTTTTATAAATAATTTATAAACAATAAATTTTCCACTATTGAATATAGAAGACGAAATCAGTCGATTGTCGTTAATAGTTCCTATGTTTGTATGTGTTTAGGGTTATGGGCCTGTGTTCTTCACACCCCCATTCAAGGGTTTCAGAGGAAATTTCCGTCCATAATGTGTTGTTCTCTTGGTGACAAAGAGGCCTGAGGCCAGTTTTCGTGAAAAGTCAGAAGAGTTAGCGTCGGAGAGACTGAGGAGTGAGGACCTTGAAAATAAAAACTTGTCTCCCGTCAAAATCTGTGTCTTTAATTACATTTCCCTGGATATTACCCATAATTACAATATCCACCATAAAGATTATTTTTTTAGAATCGTAACAAATTTATTCATATTCAGAATTGTACCAGAATTCGATTTTATGCCTAAAACAAGGTGATATATCGATTTTTGGATAAGCTAGAGAGACTGCAAAGTTATTTATTTTATTTATTATTTGCCATGTATACCCTACTCGGGTTTTTACAAGTTCCCTAATTTGCGGTCATCATGGGCCAACTTCCTCTCCAACCATGTCGCATTGTACCCCAGGAGCTGTACGCCGTGCACAGACTCTCCTGGTGACCAAGGGAAACCATGGAAAACCTTGGTCGACACAGACGTCCATCGACCGAACATCATCGAGGGTTTTTCTACCATTTCTCCGATGATTCGCGGTGTCTAGAACACCTTCGAAGGTTTCCGAAGGATTAAAAAATCCCTCCCCAAGCCGGACTCAAGCCCGCGCCTCACGGGTGCCGCCATCCGGCCGAGCGATTTAACCACTTTCGCCACCGTTTTTTTTTTAACCATGGTTTATTTAATTTTCTTACAAGGAGTATTTACAGTTATTTACAGTATTTACATTTTTTAAAAACAGGTATATAAAAAAATTAATGATGCATATCTGGTGTATTATAATCAAATGGTCCGTTTGGACACTCAAGTTTTATAAATTCTTAGGTTTATTTTGTAGAAATCAGTATTGTTTTTTGTGGTAAATTAAACCGTTGCACTAGATTAGTGCTTTTTATTATTTGTATTATTGTTGCGCTCAAAAAAAAGAAAGAAAAGAGAAAAATAAAAAGAAACATAACTTATTGTATAAAAAAAAGCACATTTTGTAATAGTTAGTAAGAATGTATTTTAATATATTTATTTACGGGGTAGATTATTATATCAATACTGATATGAGATTTTTCGATTTTTTCAATCAATTAGTATATAAATATATATAAAAACAATAATTTTTATATAGAGAGTGAATTTTAATTAATGGAGACCCTGTTATCTTAATTATGGAGGTCTGAAGTTATTTCTTCGAAATCTGTTTTGGTTTTGATTTCTGTTTTTATTTCTATCTTTGTAGATTTGGTATCGGGTTTGTAATTCTCGAATGAATTTATCGCTTCGGCCACCGTCGTCGGTTATTGCAAAGTTTTTTATGAAAAAAAACTAAAAAACGAGAATATCTCGGAAACTGTGTATGAACGGGTGTATACTTTTTGATTGATTAAGTAAGATAGAAGTCAAGAAGTCATTGTAACGAATATTTACAAAAGAAAAAATCGAAATCAGTCCACGTAGTCCATACGCAATACCCCCCTCCCGTGGTCACTGAAGGTCGATGAAATTTTATTATTGGATTTCATGTTTTTGGGGATGAGGAATCCGAATTTTTTAGACTCCAAAGAATAAAATTCGATATCGACAAAATCAATTTTCAAAAAAGATTGTTTAGAATAGTTGAGAAGTTTGGATACATATTTTTCTGGTTCAATACCTTCTATATATTTTTATAATCTGCAATTACACAAAACAAAATTTTTTTAGACAAAAAATTTTTTTTACGCGATGAGTAACTCCAATTTTCACGCGATTGACTTTAAATATCTGATCTAAAATATCATATCGAAGGTTAAACAAAACTCTGCAAAATTTCCAACAAGACACTATCATGATATTTTTTTGTTTTTCTAAAATGGCACGTTCACGCGAATCATCATGTCTTCCCAATCTCGAGTAAAATATACTTGGTTTTCGAATAAATTAAAACCACACAAGGGACATGTCCCCGATTTTCATGAATTCATGCCGAATTATTAGCGATTTGCGATTGTGAAATTCATTGAATACAAAATTCTGTTGAGTGATTTTGTTACCAATTTTCAGTGACATCATTAATTCCCAATGACATCGTCACTAATTATCAGGGGAATTTTTATAAATCGATGACGAACATCCAGTGATAAAAATCACTGATTATCAGGGTCATTCTAATCAGCGTCCAGTACCACCACTAATTGGTGATAGATTCCTGAAAACCTGCGATGCGTCTCTGAAAATCAAAACGTTTTTTTCCCTTTGCAATCACTAAATTCAATGAATTTATCATTAAAATTTTTGTTTTTAATAGCATTGGTAACAATAATAACAAATAATGAAATGAGCAAATGAATAAATGAATGATAAAATAACCATAACAGTGTAAACCAACCAAAACTAACTGTGATGTAATTAAATGAAAAAAAAACAAAAATTTGAGTATGTATATTATTATTATTTAAACAGATTAGGTAGTCCAGTAATTTTACAATATACTACGGGGCTTCACCCCCTGCTCGCTCCGTTCGTCAACTGTGGGAGGGGGGGGGCTTTGCTCGCTTCGCTCCCCCCCCCCCC